CCCTTTTTTTTTTTTACAGTCATCAACAATGAATGTAGTTTTTCTACTCATGCGCATCAAAGAGGAACAAAGAGCTGTCCTATGTGAGGGCGCTCTATGCAGGGGGTCTATATAATTGGGAGCCACCGTTATGCGCAGAAATCTTTCATCACCATCAAGGGCAGGTCTAAAGAGGTTATTAGCCGGGGGGGGGGGGGGCAGAGGGTGTGCCGGGGACGGAAGGTCTCTCTCAACTGAAATGTGGCCTTATTTGAGAAAATTTCGGACACTGCTGGGGGGCGGGCGTCCCCTCCGCACCGCACTGGATCCGGCTCTGACCATTCTGAATTATTTGGCACAATGCAATTATCTGATAAGACTGTATTGGTTTTTTTTTTAAATTATCGGATTGCCACTTATAGCGTTTATAAACGCACGAGATGCTTCAGCGCCAGTGAGAATCGATGACAATTGCTTTGTGGGGCTCGGTGTGACAAGAATCGATTCCGAATTAATTAGAACATGACCATTTCAAATTGGATCGAAGGCAGCGCCGCAGTGTGAGGTTTCAGCACGATGTAAAAAAACCCCAGAGATCCAGGTTAGCCGGTCGCAGGATGCAGTTTGCATAAACATTTCCAATTGCCGTGGGTGTTGAATTACAGTTGGGAAAACGAACATTTGGCAATTATTTCTGCGGTAGTTTTCAGGCCTGTGAATTTGATAACGGAGACACATAAATAGCAACTCCTTCATTGCCTTTGTGTGTCCAAAATCCAGGTTTCAGGAATAGCGCATCAAAAGAGTAATAAATCTGGATCTGTTTTCCAACGGAGGAAAATGAGTTTCACCACCTGCTGCTCGATTGTGCGCAGCATAAAAGAACTGGAATTTAAAGAAAGACGAATTCAAAAGCCGTACAAAGCAGACTTTTTGTCGACTTTAATGTTCCAACGGATAGATATTCCGATCTGCCAGATTTGAAGTCCCATCATTACTGTGTCTCCGCGCAGATCCGTATGCTTGCATTTTATAAATAACCTGCGACGAATTTGGTGGCGTGAAATTTGCAGCATTACCCTGTAAAGAGGACGTGGGACAATCTGGCTTACTGAGCTAACATTAGACTTTCTAAACTGCCTTCGCTTTGGCGCACACTTGAAAATCGCCCAGAGAAAATTAAAGTGCGTGAAACCAGTTGCTGCATAAGCGCCTTAAGCCGCCTCAATGAGCTACCTAGGTCAACACAGGTATGGTTTCATAGCGCATCCACGCCAGCCCCGTGAGAATTCAAGGGAGAAATAGATATCGGGTTTAATAACGGAAGAGAAACATTATCCTGGATGGTAGCCAGTTGTGACAAGCCTAATATACTTCGGAATTATCGTCAATGCATCTCCATACACCCAGATCGAATTATGATAATCAAGAAAAAAACCCGGGTGCAGAGTGATCAATTACAAAACCATCTTTAAACAAATAGCCCCAATGCAGCTTTTCCCCTCGCTCTAATTAACTATCCTCTTACTGGCCGTCTTTCAAAAAGATAGAATTATCAATTTGATATGCTTGCAGTAGAAGACTGGGGAGGAATTCCAGCAGTCATTCTCAACATAATGCAATTTCAGAAGTCAGATGCATTCGTCGACATTTTCTTATTTACGATTTTGGCGGCAGGGCGCACAACAACGCGCCGGAAGGATTATCTTGCATTATCGGGATGATTAAGACACAGACCGTCTATCACTTTCGATGAAGGACTTGAAATGTTATCTGCAGTTGCCAGGACTGTGTCATCATACCAAGACAAAAAAATCTACCTGAGCCTTGAGGCTAGTTCCTCTCAATTGCAAGAGAAATTCCGGTCTTTGGGCGATACTTCAGAAAGTGAAACCTCGCGTATCTGTATGTAGTGAGTCTAATCCATTCTGGTCTGTCTTTTCGTCGCTCTCTACCCACAAACAAGGCATATGGATTGGTGGTATCAGTCGAGATCGATGGAACAGATTTTTTTTTGCAAGGCACGGCGGATGGGGTTGATTTCCGGCCGTGGCTAGGCCGTCCTTCTCCCGATAATAAGTCACCTTGTCCCCTCTATATACTTTAAGTGCGATGGCGGAAAAACAGTCCTTAAGCCAGGAGTTTCTCCCTTACAATATACCATACTTTTTACCTTCTCGGTTGCTGTCGGAGAGCAATGCTTTTTAGGCGACGTTCTGAAAAGGTGCAAAGGTTTAGTTACAGATTGCTTGCTTCAGCTAGGGCTGTGTTTGATGATAAAATACGGCGAGTGATGGTGGTTTGGGGTACACCTTTCAGTGTGAAATGCCCCTTAATCTCAGTTGTTCCAATTTGCTGGAGTGCATGTTGGTCGATGTCAAGTATCGACCGTTAAACTTAAACACACGCGCCCATGGGAATGTACGAACATCATAGCAACATTGTATCACACTTTGGGTGACTTATGTTATCTCACCGTGAAACACTGCCCATTTGCCTTCATGCAACTTTCTCCTCACAATATTCGTACTGCTTGGAGTTGAAAACCCCCACTTGCAAGTAGACTGACTGTCTTACGTACATATACGCATCCACCAGGAGATATAATTCGAAGCAAACTTATTGAAAAAAAAAATGGGGCAGAGCACTAAATATGATACAAAGGGGACATGAGATTCTGATCATAATTTTTAAAAGCGAATTGAATTATAAAGAGTTGCATTCAAAAGCATTATGCAAGCAAATTGATTTCAAAATGGTCGAAGAAATTATTTGCCCTATAAAGCTCGTTCTTGGGCATTTATAAGGAAATATATTGATGACCTCCACATTCATTACAAAGCGCATGGACCTCACGATAACAATATAAATTGAATAAAATTAAATAAATTTTACAAAAGGAGAGTACTATCGTACCCGACTTCAATAATGGAGGGGTGAGTGCATTTTTGGCATCCAAGGCAGCCAGTCCAAGTCAAGCAAAGGCAGCCAACAAAGTGGGCAGGAGGCAGCGTGAGCATTATGAAATCACCCTGGAATGCCTTATTGTGAAGAAGTGTTTGTACAGACAAAAGGGAATGTCAATGTTCTGTGTGTGTTTTACGAGCCAAACGTTCTGGTTGATTTAAACTGATGCTGCCGTTCGATTGAAAGAACAATATTTTCCTTCAAACATAAAGTAGGGCTGTCTGCACTCATAACGATTTCGGAAGAAAGCAGAGCACTGAATCGAGCAATTTCCTACATTATGTTTTTTTTTATGAGAGCATCTACCGGAAAATCGACAGCTTTCGATCGTGGAATTTTGTTAGGATTCCGTGTGTGCAGTACTCTCTTCTCATCAAGCCGTGGAGGAAATTTAGGTCGGTGACCGGCGACACCTGGCACCGACCGCTGCATTCATTTCACCGCTTCAGTTCATTGGCCTTTGGCCAAATCTGACCAAAATCGGTAAAACTCTGTCTTGCTGTGAGTGCGAGGGGATATTTCTCAGTTATTTCAAACTCGATGGTGCTCAGCTTTTGGCCAAAATGTGGACATATTCGATTGTTTCAGCCACAAATTAAATGAATTAAAAGTCGTCCCTACTTTGTTATTTGTATCAAGACAAACATTAACAATATCATCTATCTCAAACTATTTGTGAAATTATCACTCGCTTATGCTACGGTAGCTTCGTAGCGTCACCGGCATCCCAAACTGTATCTTAAATTCAATGTCATTCCGGGAGCTAGGGATGCGGCAAATGCACTTTTCCAAAAAGGCAGTTGTCTTCACATTTACCTGATCATTTCCACAAAACTTGTACCAAGGCTTAACATGTTATCAAACTTGTTATTAAATTGCTAAAACATCATGGTAAAAAAATATTCTAAATGAACATGTATAGGGATCTCCAATGTAGCATAAGACACAACGCATTTCTTCACCGTATGCAGAGACGGTCCTTAAAAACTAGTAAAGTTTACAATAGTGTATACTTGAGTACATTTTGGGGTCAGATAAAAATGATGTGAGAACTTATCAAGTGAATTGTCTTCCTAAAAAAAACCCGATAACAATATTGGGAAATTCAAAGAGCAGGAAGTGCCACGGGCATTTTACAATGTATTTTGTCCGCCCTTGTGTGAGGTGTAAAGCTTTAACCCTTTCCATTAAAATAAAAAAGGAAGCGACTCAGACGCACCAGGCGAGCCTACCGTTTTATTTGATATACCACGTTATAGCAACACAAGATTGAGTTACTGCACAGAGCCATTACGGTGTTTCCTGTAGCAGTACGAAACAGAAAATGAATGGAAAGTCTGGGAGAAGTAAGGAGGAGAAAAAGTACGTACAGCCTTGGGGATCCCACCTCTCTCTCACCGAGGAGACAATGGTGTGAAATATCGTTTGTCTCTGCATGGGCGGGTCAGGGTTTATAGCACTTAAGATTGCGCTGCGCATGGATGCTATGACAATGTTGACCATGGTCCCAGATTTAATTACGCGCCCATGTAGGTTAATTTGTAGATGGTCTGTCAATGTCGTCCGTTTAAAAGTCTGGAGCAGGGATACAGACAAGTTGCCGCATCTGAATTAAGAGATCAAAATGTTTGCATGAAGTGGATGTCTGTTAGTAACCACAGCTTGTAGCATAAAATGGACACTTCATCGGAGGGAATAGTGCAGTGAAGTAAACGTCTTGCTTTCAAGTCGTTTTATGGATGTGCAGGTGTCATGGATGTGCAGGTGTCATCCATATAGAATGCGATTGGTGAGCGATACCATGTGCAAACCTCAATCTACCATGCCCAGCTGAATTCATCCACGTCTACACATACAATTGGTAGATGTTATGCAAAGTCTCGTACGAGCGTGCAGTAGTTTGTCACTGTGGTACGTGCACATGAACGCAGCATGTTTGCTGGTTCTAGATAAAAACCCGAACAATTGTTTTGTTGGCTTTTAAAAAGAGTTTGCCTGGTAATTATCAAAATTTGGAAAGCGTTTGCTTTTCTTCTTCTTCTTTTTTTTTTTTTAATTAGAACTCTAACATTATGGCTGGGCGACTTCTTGCCCAAAGTTACAAAAGAAAAACCGATGCGTGCGCGGCAAATTGACACGGCGCTTCATGGTTTGCTTGCTTGACCGGTGATTGGTAGGAAACCACACAGGATGAAAAGAAATGACCGCATATGCTTGTTTCCCGCCATAATTAAACCAAAGCAGCCGACACGTGTAGATTACATCGCGTCTGGCACCCGACTTGACCGTATACATAAGGATACACATACGCAGGCATGCATGAGCGCAGACGGAATGCAGGTTGAAATGTTTGGCAAGGTGCATCAGCGGCCCCTTTTTAATCGTGACAAGGCTGAAGACAGAGCAAGCCTAGCGTTAGTATTAAATTCGATTAAGAGGTGGAACTAACACGCCATGCATGTGGCTACGATCAAGATAAAACTCATCATCGAGATACACTGTAGGCAGGTTATCTAGTACACAGTTAAGAAATACAATCCCACATACACTTTGGTATACCGGTATAAATAATTTTAAAGGTGTACATGATTTTTTTTTTTCGGGAAATGACAGTGACGCAAAAAATACACTTTATTTATTTGGATAACATCATGATGATTGCGTTACATGGAAGTAAACGCATGTGTGCTATTTTGCATATCCGGCGCAAACATGATATCACTCCTTGCAGCTTCGAAATCAGTTTGCTGTGTTAAATTTCAATGGAAAATGTGAAAATAAATGTGAGTAAAAGAAAAAAGACTAAACAAATCCCTTTGTATTTACTTTGATTATAATTCTCGGTTTGTAACATGTTATTAAATAAAAAAAATATTGAAATGTTCCACATTTAAATAACAGCATGGTGTCATTTTAATATAATTCACTTATTAAAGTAACACAAAGCTGAGTATAAGCTGATGTTAACATTTGAAACTACTTAACAATATATTTTCAGTGATGAACTAATTACAGGATAAGTAGAAAGGAAAGTTTAATAAAACGTGTTAAAATTGGGGGACGGGATTTTTTTCACTGCAAACAAATGAGAATGACTTAAACAATGCCAGAGAATCGACGGGAAGAAGTGTCAAAATTGTGTCATTTAAATAATATCTCTTTGTGAGTTAAAAGAATATCAATGTACAAAGATATGTCCTTATTTACTATATACACTGTTTTTGCAAAATATCGTAGGGTTCGGAGCACCGAGTTGCTCTTATTCAACATATAACAGTCGTCTGTCAGCCTTATTAAACCCATCGCCAATACTGGGCACCAGTACATAAAAAGCACCCAATTTCATACCACTATAGGAAAATGGAATTTCATTTCATTTTTTTGTATGAATCGGTTGAAATGAAAACTTACCCTTGTGTTACATTCTATGGAACACAGCTACACTAACCATTTAGTAGTCTTTTTGTGTTAAAAAAAAGACCAAATCTCACGATGTTGCTCTTGTCTCTTTCAAACTAGAATCTAAGTAAAACAACGGTGGACGAGTCGCATTTGAAGCGAAAAGGGTTATGTTTGAAACATGGGGCTATACTAAATTGATTTAACAAAGCTTTGTGGGGTCGGCATTGATTTGAAAGCATTTGGGAAAACTCATGAGCGTCTTTGTAAGATGTATACATCTTGATTACAACCGGCCAGCCGATTGAAACACCAATCAAAGCTTATTATTTCGATTCTTTACATCTACTCAATATAGCCAGGTTTTGTATGTGAACATAGACAGGACGGTTAATCTGTATACACAGAGGAACAGGACTTCGCTTATTTGTCTTGCTGCATTAGTTTCTTGAAGCCAAAATCCATATATTACTGTCTATGGAATGTCGTTACTGATACATATCATCTCAGGCGTTTAAAATGCGAACGACAGTCCGCCCGAGCATAAGTAGTATTGCAAATGCGCATATCCCCCAAATAGATAAACACACATATATATATTTCTTTCCATTTCGAAACATCCGGAGACCATTCTTCACCACAGGCAGCCATTAGTTTATAAATTGTGACTTATTGCTATTCAAAATATCAAAGGAAGGAATGTTGATGTTTTCGTTTTGAGAGTTTGTAAACTGCATCAAATCATTCAGGAGGCTCTACACGTAAACGATTACGCTGTGATTTGTTAAAGTCAAACTGATTACGTATGAATTCGCCGTTGCATGTTTTCCATGTCGATAGTTACTAGAGTCACATACGCCCCCATAAATTTTGTGTTGGTACACTACAAAGATTGTGGGGTATATCGCTCCAACTGAAGTTAAATTCATCGTTCATGATCCACCTTCTCATTCACTGTTATCTAATGTCACTTCGTATAACTACATGTATTCGGAAACCTATATGGGCATGAAATCACATACAACTGCAAATGGAAAAAAAGCTGCAGTTTGAGCTGCACACAATCAACCTTCAGCCGACAGCATTTATATCGAGAAATTTCTTGATAACTTCACCGCATTCTGAAAAAAGGAGTCTACCTATCCAAACGAGGGTACTTGAAGGAAGATGCTGAGGGTGGCAATAATTGTGGTAAGTCCAAACACCCACATAAACAACCTGTCGATGATGTAAGCTATCCTGATCCACTCGAACCGCATCTCCTTGTCCATGTCCTCTTCCTCGTACCTCTCTACGATCTTGCCCAGGTTGCCGGCGATCAGATCCAGTGTCTGCTGGAGCCTGTTCCGCCGTCCTACACCCAGGACGTCTCTCTTGGTCGTAGCCGCCATCATGTTGTTCATCTCCAACTGGTTGCAGTCCATGTTCACGTTCTTGTACATTGTGTTGTTGACTTCGCGCATGGCCGGCGCGTTCTCGAAGCTGATGCGCGGCACAGTCTGCGCGCCGTGGAGGCTTCGGCAGCTCCGGAGACACAGCACCCGGGCCAGGTAGTCCATGGCTAGCTTGCGGAACCAGGCGGGAGGTCGGCTGGCGTAGGCCCCTCGATGGTGGATGTGTAGCACGATGACCGTCAAAAGTGTGGATACGGAAACTAGGATCATGGTGGTCAGGTAGTACTGGGCTAGAGGGATTAACCAAGGGGAAGCAAGCTTGTTAATGCAAAGATACAAAGAATGAGGTCAGTTTGACACCCTTAAGAAGACTGCTTATAATTTCTTCCAATATAGCAATACTAATTGAGGTAAACGGCAACAGAACTTGTTAAAGTAACTTGCTTCCTACATTTGACTCTTTGATATGTAACCTGTCGATTAATGGATTCGACGTATTATACTGTATCATTTTATCTGAATTTGTGAGTTTGTAACAATTTAAGGACTTTTAAGGAATAAGCAGCGTTGTTCAAGTTGGTTGACATGGGTATGCACACATAGTGTGGTAATGTCATTTAATTGATGTCGATTCTTTGCCTCATTGGGTGCCTCAGGACGATTATTGGTTAAATTATGTTGAATAATAATGCATTTGTACCTATTAAGGGGATGACGTCGGAAGTCGGTGGCATTGTCTCTGCTACTAGCAACAGGAACACTGTCAGTGACAGCAGGATTGTGATGCAGAGTGTCACTTTCTCTCCAGCATCGGCTGGCAGGTAGAAGCTCAACATGGTCAGTGCGGACACCAACATGCAGGGTACCAGAAGGTTGAAGACGTAGAACAAGGAGCGCCGCTGGACAACGATGGTGAAATGCAGCAGGGCGTAGGGGTACTCACAGCAGTCGTACTTGGCCAGCTCCCGCTCCACCGGCATCCTCTTGAGCACCCACTCGCCGTTGTGGATGAAGCTGTCGATGTCCCCGGAATTTCTGCGCGCCACCAAGTCTAAGTGGTTGATGGTGAAGGCCCAGGAGCCAAGGTCCAGCCTGCAGTGCTGTTCATCGAAGGGGAAGTACTGGATGTTGATCTTACAGGAGGACTTGAAGATGGCGGGCGCGTACCAAGACACCAGCCCGTCGTGGGAGATCTCTGCGTTGGTCTTCATGATGCCTTCAAACTTGTCATCAGCTCTATGAGGAATTGGAAGAGCATTTCGTCAAGGGTGTTCAGATTGTAGTTGATTTGGAAGCTATTGAAGTGAATGGGTAGGGAAGGAATCTCAAGAAGATGAATGTCCAAATAATCTGACATATGAAAGATATACGTAAACATGGAGCAACATGCTCAAGGGAAACATCACAAGACACTCAGGGCAGACACCACAGGTTGAAATAGGTTCTTACTGAAAACTTTTTTTTGAATTTAGATGTCAAGAGCGCGGCTTTCCGAAGAACGAGGTTGATAGTGGCTATCAAGTCCAAGCCTCGACTTCAAAAGGAGAGATAGGATTCGGTTTTGGAGAGATTCGGTTTTGGAGAGGAGAGGGCACTTTTTCTCGCGGGTTCGCGTTTGTTACTAGTCATATAGACACATAAGCATTTTATTACCAGAATCATACATTCGAAGTTTACATATAGATTCAAGGTTATTTCTTGTCCTATGACTCAGGGATGAAGGCCTACTCGAATCCGGAGATGAATTTGAATTACTTTGATTAACCTCTTTTTGCAGCGAATTATACACGGCGCTTATACAAAGCTGGTATTTTAACAGGTCGTGGCCCAAGTACAGTCGATCCGCATGAAAGTATGCGCGGGGAAAATACCTGCAAACGCAGCCCAAAATTCCGCGAGAAAAGGAAGACTTTGCAATGCAGACCCGATTCTGGAACCGTCACATAATCCCCACCGGGTATTTCACACATCTGTCACTAACATCTCGCATTCGACATCGCGATGGATCCGTAATATACCCGAACCAAGCGCAGATTACGAAGCTGCGCCTCAAGTGCAGCTGCCGCGTTAATCCAGTCCACTGGAGTGGGCGTGTAATAACGAGCGTACGGATCGGATTTCCGCCCGGCCGGTATTTTTTTTCAGAGCACTTGTGATTTCGATGAGTTTGGGGACTTACCTGGAACCCGATTCGTTTTTGTTCAGGTAAGTTTTTAGACCGAATAATTAGAACAGTCTTGTGGAGTAGGTGCACGCGATGGGTGATTTTCTCTGGCGGGCCTTTAACAAAAATCGCACAAAACAGTTTAACTAAAACTGCTACTTAACAGATGACTGCGTGGAGATTAAAATCTACAGAAAAATGTGGAGTATAACCTGACATAAATACAGTTAACACGAAGTAAAAGTACCAAAACACCTTGACCTCCACAAACGAATGAAACACAACAGTCCATTCACTTCCTTGCCTCATTTGATACGCGCCATAGATCATGACACCTGTTAATTCTTACAAACAGCCCTAGACTATCGAGCTTCGGCCACAGTGATCTGAGTGAGTAGTTAACGTAGACCTATACATGTAGTTCAGCAATGGGACCCGATAGCCGTGTTAGTCTATGATTTAATACAAGCGCAGCTTCGTTTTTATTCCAACATGGCGTTAATCACAGTTTCTAATCTGCATAGTCTGTTGAACACAAACCAAGCAAAGAGTTCATAGTGTGTGTATAAGGATGCCCTTGACAGATGGAGGTCCGCCCGATATACATAAGCCCATTCACATCAGCAGGCCTGACCAATGCTGTTAGTCCAGTCCTTGGGCATGAAACCATACTCGACATTCTTTCATTTGTTTTGAAAGGATTCATCAAAACGAGATTTCAATTCTAAAAACGTTTATGTCCACACTAGTGACACTACCAGTCTAATTAAATAGCACATTGTAACTGGTGTGGAGGCATCATCCAAAAACGTTGAAGCTTGTGGTGGATGTGCCTAACAAAACTAAAAACAAAACAAAACAAGGCAAACAACACTGATTATAAAGTTTAGTAGAAATCACAATTACTTATCAGTTAAAAATAAAGCGGACAATGAACAACACGTATCATAGAACAGTTACTAACGGCTATAAAACAGCTTAACAAACATAGCTAATTAGGTATTCTGGCAGTTAAGCAAGAATGATTTTAGTTTATATGAGCGTATATTCAGGTGCAATTAGTTAAAGACGAATCAAGTTTTCTGGTCAGGAGAAATATAAAAATATATGTAAGTCTATGTACAGAAGCAGACATCGAAGCCGGAATCCAAGCCGAGATTTGAGAAGTTTGAAAGGAAAATAGTCTAGTTTCTATAGACTCACATGTTGTATAGCACAATGTCTGGTTTCCAGATGTCCGTGGAGGGAAGCGTTATCTTGGTGATACCATCGAAATCCTCGGGGTTCCAGCGTAGACTGGCGTCTGTCCAATGCTAAATATAAAAATGTAGATATCGCCACAGTGTTTACTCTTTTCCATATTGGCTAAAAGCCAAATCACAGAAATTCAGACTCCCAAACTAATGCACACCAGTGCTGCAACTACTGTTGTTTGGACTGACCCACTTAAATTTAAAAGGTGGTAATTTGTGTTTATATTGGGTTAAAGGTCCAATTTAAGAATGGGGTGGATTTTTTTGGAATGCTTCGCAACTGTATTTTGTGTGGACATACAGCTTTTAATGACTGTACCGTCTACAGAAGCGTGTTTTTTTTTTTTTTTTTTTTTTTTTTTTTTAACATCCTCTGATTTATACATCCTTGCAATTTCTACAGCACCTGCAAACATAGTCTATGTAATAGACCATGGCGAGTGCTATATGGTCTATATGTGAGCAGATTTGCTGATTAATTAGGCAAGACAACCGCCTCTTGATCTCTAGATTTTGACCAATCAGCGAGCGCTTTCTATATCGGGTCTTCGGTCATTCACCCGTTGCGCGTCACAGACAATGGATAAAAAAAACCTGTGTCACACGCTCTGTTTCATGTTACGCGATATGCGCTCGGCTGCTGTTGTATTACAAAACACTGCATTCGAATTGACCAATCAAACCATTTAGTCCTGATTTGGGAATGAAATGACGTCACGATTTAGTAAAGTCGACTCCGATTAGCTGGCGCGCGACTTGCATATATCTGCATGTCTAGACATATCAGACGTTATACAGGAAACGGGTGATACTCAGACTACTGCAAACACTGGGTACGTTAGATATCTTTGAAGTTAAAAAAAAAATCATTTAATAACAAGTCTTTCTTATGAGGGTTAAAAATTTGAACCCTAAGTGATTTTTTTTTATATTTCAAAATAGAATACCTTTTTGTTATTGAAAGCAATTATTGTGAGTCGATTACGAAGGCGTGTTAAATTCAAGCACAGCGGGCAAGTGATATCTGAACACTGACAATTCGTGGCAATCGTATACCTTGAAATCCTCAAGACATATTGCCGTGATGCTTAAGTCTACAAAATTCCCCATCTCAGCGGTCATTCCCTGCCAACGGCCCCAGGACGTGTTCCCGTTTATATGCTAAAGCCTTTCACGGGGGAATGTCAGCCGTACATCCTCACGTCTCGTTCCCCTAAGCATAACTTGATCTGCATCTTCCCGTACCCGTTCTCGCCCCTCGGTCGAGATTTGGCTTTATTGACCAATAGTCTGCTTAGATCACTGCCTCCACACTGCAGCAGTTTATCGACTATTTGACTATAACCATGGTCAGAAATATGGCTATGGGCTTGCTTTAAACATAGTACACAATATACCCTGATAGTCCTATAAGCCCCAGTCTGTAATGGATGGTTATTTCATCTCTAGCCGTAAGGGACATATCGACTCTTCTAAAGCATGAATACATGTATTACATGCCATTATTCAAGAAAGTCAGCTTCATACCTGTGTAATCGGGTCTGTTTATGTTTCGACGAAACCAATTTATTGACCGAAAATATTCCAATCAACATAACTATTGTGAAATTAAAGACTTCCCGTAATTCCATTTAAGATTGCACAGTTATCATCTTAACATCGATACTCGATAGTTCACATAGGTATACAGCGGATATGAGTGATTTTAGTTCGGTCGGCGCATGGGTGTTTTAGTTTGATAATGGATATGTTGTACGGCGAATGTGTGGGTGTGTGTGTTTCAGTTTGATACTGGGTGTGCGATGTGTGTTTCAGTTTGAAGTTAGATATTCGATATTCCCATACATTTAAAGAGTAAATAATTATGTGTGTTTCAGTTCGACATTATATATTCGATATTCCCATTCGTTTGTACAGTGAAATATTGAAATAGTGACATGAGATACACACAAGACACATACATTGTAAATCTCAATCGTCTCCTTCTCTCCCTCAAGTCAAGAAGCTCCCCAGCCTTCCGTCTTTTTCCAACTTCCGCAATTTTTTAAAGATACTTTTGTATCACTGAAACAAACCTACACCCGCGTATAACGAGCAACACAGCCGTTTCAAAATAAATGGCACAGTCAGGTTGATCGGGTAAACCGGTGATGCCAAATTTCCCAACCACTTTGCAAGAAATCGCGTTGGTTGATCTGAAAGGAGAGTTGGATCGTGGTATAATGGGTTGGCTGTTGAGAATTTCATGGATATGTTAATAGGGAAAGAGTTAGATTTTGACCAAGGTATGAGTGTACTGTGTGTTTAGGATTAAGGTTTTGTTTAGAAATAGGCCTGGTGTTTAGGGTATAATGATTAGGGTAAGAGTTGGGTTAGTTTTAAAAGGGTCAGGGTTAGGGTTAGGGTAAGGATTAGCGTCAGTTATAGGGTTGGAGTTGTATGGCTACTGGTTTGCTTGTGGGCAATTGACAGGATAGGGCTTGCGTATGTAAATGTCGAGTATCAAATATCAAACTTCTATTACAAGCAATCACATTAACTTTACACAATTATTTGAATGTCGAATATCCAACATCAAACCGAAACACACACATTTGCTGCACAAACGTATTTGAACGTCGAATATAAAATATTAAACTAAAACACTCATAATTATTCGCTGTACAAATCTATGTGGATATCGTGTATTCGAATAATCATACTGACTTTACATTGTCATCACTTAGCGATTAATAACTCACACATATGAACATGAGTTGTTTCAGCTTACAAGGGATAAAGTAGTTTTGCTGTAAAATTCTGATTTTTTTATGGATTGCCAAAACGAATGTGGGAGTAGCCTATAATAACAGATTCGCACTCTGTCATTGCTGTATAAGTAAAGCTTACATATCTCGTGATTTCAGCTTCTGAGGTAAGTAGGCCTGTGTCAATAAAATAACTAAAACACTGCAGATATTTAATTTCAATTTGAAGATCTTGGTGAGGAAAATTATATTGCCCAAACACAAATTATACATGGCAAGCAGATAAAGATTAAAAAGATTGCATTTAAGCTGTACAAAATTCCATAACAGTGCCGAGGTGGTGGTGGTGGGGGGGGGGGTAGAATAAAAGCAGTTAAACGTGAACTGATAGAAAGGCTCAATCGAGAGGCTCAATCGAGCTGCCGCAGGTTTTTAATTAACTGCCGTCAGTTTACCCCCAGACCAAGTTTCCACTTCTGTTCTCAGTTCGGATTGATTCTGTCAGCTATGATGGCTGTTCAAATTGATCACAATATGCACTCGTATATAGACCCTCTTGAGTAAGGGAATAGGCCGTCCGTTTTCGCACTCTGATTTGTTTAATTCGGGAATCGCTGGAACGAATCATCAAATAAATTGAATCGTTCGGCTTGGTAGTATAGGTACTTCAAAAGGCATGACAAGAGGCCTATAGACTCGGGACATATTTATCAAAAGATTTGACAAGTTTGGCATTCGGAAATATAATTGCTCCGATATAATACTCAACATTACTGAAGTGATGAATTACCACCACTTATAAAATATACCACAATGTTTTCAAGGTACATGTATAAAATTATATAAAAACTAATGTTCCCAAGCTTTTATGGCCCCTTCTATGCACTGACGCTAAGCCAACGTGATCTGGAATACCCGTGTATTTGCATTGTTTGCAGGTTCCACTGACAAAATCTTATCATATGCTTGCTCAAGTTCCTAGATGTCATCGCCATAAACACAGGAAATAATCGAAATATGGACTACCACGGGACGGACGTGATATTTACCTGTCTCAGCCACACGTTTGTCGTCAGTATCTGGTTTCGTTCGTCCTGTAAGCCAATAGGTAAAACAAAAACGATTGGAATTTGAAGTGTTTGCAAGGATCTAACTGGGCAATAAGTTGCTACGGAACATTTAACGGGGGTAGGGCCAAAATATAATTCCATGCATCGTTTGAAGTCAATACTTCAAACCTCAAACCTACATAACTTTAAAGGATTGTTGGGAGTGGAGGGAAAAAAAGTAAAATGGCGCCTGCTAGATGTTTTTTCTTACAAAAATAATGTTCTTTTCATATCCGAGTTGCTTATGATGTATGCCGAATGTTCAGTTTTTTCGTATTAGTGGTAACTTGGTCATTTCCAAATCATCATGGAAAATAAAATCCAATTTTCACATGATATGACATTAATTGTGGGCGGCCATGCAGTTTTCTTCTTGTGCCCATTCCTACTTTTAAGTTCATTATCCTCTCTGTACCCTGAACTTGCCTTGAATGGGACTCAAAGAGTCACGACCCAATATTACCACGCTGTGGTAATAATGGGAACAAAATATAATGGGTCGTTCAGTCTCACGCTATCATGACTGTGGTGCATAAAGGAGCCTGATATGAAAGATGTTCATATTCAATATGATTTTAATCAAATGACACTGATAGCATTATGTACGGAAGATAGACGGGGCCAATTTGTTTGTGCAGGGAATTTGAGATTAAAAACAGCAAACCTATTACAAAAGAGCTAGTGTTGAAAGGTTAACAAAATAAGTAAAACTATGCGCTAAATTCTTCCCAGATTTTTGCCTGATGCTGACTAGCATAAATTGTCTCTAGAGATCTCAGTCATTACTCCTATCTCAGTGATTTCAATTCCATCAAGTGGCAGTTCATTCAGAGGAGACAAAAGCAACACCTAAGGTATCGGGGTATCATTCCGTGTGAAAACATTCCTATGAACCGACTGTGTCGCAGGGACACTTCACTTGTCGAAACTTGAACATAGCGGGGGTTCTGTGTTCCCTTCGCACCCTGGGTGTCTAACAAAACATTTCCCCGAAGTATTCCTGATTAGTGCCCTTCAAACCCGAGTGGCAAGATCGCATAAAGTCTCCAAGATAGACAGAGTTGAAGAAAGAAGACCGGCGGACTGGGAACGTTTTGTTGAAATGTCAAGTGAAGGAATTCGGGGCAAGCTTTCAGTGTGCGGTGATTAACACTACTGCGGGAGTTGATCGATGAGACTGCCATTAAAAAGATAGGTGAATCTTGAGCGGCAACAGAGCTGACGCGAACGGGAAACGGATAATGCAACGAGCGCTGCGTGGTTGATGCGCCTCCTTGCTGGCGCGCATAGCGCGTGCACTATACTACAGACGGATAAATCCATCACTTCCTAATCCTCACTGCCAAAAACAGCGGTCTCAATCTTGTAAAGTGCCAGTTCGTCTTGTCTTCATCCTTTACTCTCCACACTCTCCGTCTTTCTCCCTTTCTGTCCATGTCTCTCTGTTCGTGGTCTCCGATTTGCTTTCTTTAATCACAGAGCGGATCGCTTGCGGCGGCAATTCGAGACTTATTTGCCAGGAAAGCGATGGCATTGCCGGGTGACGTCAAAATGTTTGAGATATATCGTCTTCATTAAGTTTGATTCGATCGGGGCTTTTCGCCCCCTCTTGTCGCACCACAAGCAGGCTAGCTTTTCTGCTGGGTGTACTGTACTAGCGCGGTTCGTGTTGGGCTTGAAATTGGCGTGGGGTGAATATAATACTCGAAGGAAAATGCGCATTTTCGGTAGCCGGCAGAATGTTTGTTGTGTTGGCGCAACTAACTCGCCTCTCGTAATATTGCAACACTTGCAGAAAAACGGCAGTGAAGTGTTTGTGTTAGTCATCCAACAGTGAATATAAAGCATCAATGTCACACGACCAGCCCCTTGTGAATTTCAGATTAGCATTAAAGTGCATGCATGCAGTCAGCACAGCCATCGAATTGTGCCATCCTAGCGTCACAGCTGGAAAATAAAGATACATATTTCTAGAATCGGATAATTTAGAGGTAAATTTACAGTGATACATTCCTTGGGCAATCCGCGATACCTAATTACCGAGTGTTTTGTTTGTTTGAGAACAAAACCGGTAACAAAAATTAAAAGGAAAACACTCAAATTAAACAAATAAAAACGCGAACATAGCAATATCAATAATGATAGCAGTATTATTTACTGAGAAACAGTTATGTGGCCTCAAAGAGGAAGAGAAATATTAAAAAGGAGAAAATAATCCCAGGAAGATATCAAATTTCAGCGGGTCCCACGAGTCTCATCCAATCCCCGCCCCGCCTGCGGTACACTGCGTATTAGCACTTTATGGGTAACAATCTGCGACAATTTGCCTCCTTTGACACACAACACACAGTCAGTTCAGCGGGAAATTACCGTGTTTATAACCCGGAGTTGAATGGAGGCGTCTGTATTATGGCTTGAACTAGCTTGACTTGACTTGACCGACCAGAGACATCAGTGAACACTGGCGGTTAAGTCTCGCGTGTTTCCCCTCCGTCGTTGCCCCTGAGTCTAGTCTGGGGAGGATTAAACTTGAGGTCGCTTACCTGAGACCCATAAAGATCTTAATAAGGCTGAGAAGGTTGAAAGAGCTTGCCACTATTTTTGGAACTCACATAAAACATTAAAGGTAGAGAAGGGTAGAACTATCCGAGATATTTCATTCACCCGATTCAATTTGTATTACCAAAAACATTCGTGAGTTTACTTTTGAATGGTCAATGCAAACATGCATGTAATTGACATCAAAGTTTGTAATTCGTTGGTACACTCGCATGGTAATTTTTTTATAATTATTTAGGCCTACTAAAATAGTACTAATCAAGAATGGATGGTAACCAACTCGTAGGCCTAGGGTTCCTGATAGGCATCAATGGACATATCCCTGCCCTTTCTACTGATAGCATATCAAAACTGTCGTTTGATTTGGTGACAAACTGGCATTTGATTAGACATTCATATGACTGCAATATCTGAATATAGGATTCTCTTCGAAAGTAAAGAATATGAGTGTTTTTGCGCAAGACTAGATATTAATTCAGTTCTAAAAACTATAGACACTGGAAAAAAGGGAAATCCGTAAGTGTTTTGACTGTTGCTTTAATAGTATAGTGACACTTGTATATTTATTTTTACAGTTAGAGGGACGGACAGAAGTTACATTGGTGGAAATCTTTAGGATTTTCAGACCGTAAGAAACGTCCAATGTGGTTTTTAAACGAGAAAATTAATATTAATTATGCTGCCCTTGATATGTTGGGAGCATTTTGACCTCAATGAAAGCCCAATGCATTCAGAAATGTTAATTCTATGAAGTTCTCTTTGGGATTTGAATTTCATCACGCGCTGTTTTCGGGCTGACGAACTGCATGACTTTGGGATTGCACAGCGAAGCCGCAACAGCCAAGCCCGATTAGAACCTATCAATGCTGTTAAAAGCCGATGTCACTGCATTTTGAACTTCATTTTCGACTTAATAATGGACAATTAAACCCATTGCAAGGGCTTGGAACTCGACGAGGCACATTAGAGAGACCGCCACTTTCCCTCGCTCCAGACATTGAGGTCCCAAAGGGTATTAATGGGAGGTTGTACGACCAAAAGATGAGGCGAACGTAAGTAAGGGGATTCCTCGATTCCTTGGCTTATGAAATCGTTAAGAAGCACTTTCAATCAGAAATCACTCTCTTTGGCTCTTCAATGCGTTATAAGGAAATAGAGAAATTGAAAAAAAAACATCATTCAAAATAGACAATAATCGTTCACGCAACTATATACTTTGAAACTATGCGGTTTTTGTGTAGTTATCGCGGGTAGGAATTTAGGGGTTCAAAAGTGTGATCCTCGATGACAGAGCCAATAGAGTGCCAGTCTTGATACAGGTCAAACATGTTTCTTAAAAATAGCCTTTGCTTCAAACACACTTAGTTTCATTTAGGTGGGACTTGATTTCTTACATAGAATTATCACATGGATTCGGCGCTAGTCTAACGTTGGCAGCTTTGGCTCAAAATTCAATGGCTTCAATCGCTGATGAAAATGCGAATAAGCAATGAAGGTAAAACATGCATAGCTGCGGAATCAGATGTAAACAATTGTAAGACATTATTTGGACTCATTTTAGCTAAGAAATCTAAAAAAAAAAAATGGTTACACAATCTAAAACATTAAGTGTATAGCAATCTCCGGACGAAAGTTAAACTTTAAGACTTATCTTATAAGGAAGCATTTACCATATCAATAATCTGTTGGAGGGCTACCCCGTAGGCGACCATGATGGCGTCTTGGGGCGACTCGGCCGGCCGCACCACCTTGGAGTAGTTTTGCATCAGAGTGGTCACCAAACGGTACGTTCCAGTAGCGCACAGTACACCTACACAGACAACGCCAAAATGTGCAGAAAGGGAGTTGTGAAATATAGGGGCAATCAGCTCAATTTGGTTATACCAACTTGAGACATTTCATACGGGGCTCGGCACAAGGGGTGCAGCAAGTTTCATTTTAAAATATAAGAGTTATTCACAATTATAAGTCAAATTTTGTGCAAGTGGATTAAGTTATTAAATCTACTTATGTACTGATGTGGAAATTGACTTTTCTTTTGAGGGCTGTTAATACCATCCGAAACTTAATGAGATTACAGAATGAGTGATGTGTTATTTGAATAACCATTGGTTCAAATCACACACCCTATTCTTGCCGTCACTTTGTTTACTATTTTAAGATCAGATCTGCTTGAGAAGTAAACCTGACGTTACAATGCGGTCACAAGAGGCTATTTTAAAATCATAATGGGCCATGTCTAAGACTCCTATCTTCTGATGCCGCGAACGACACAGGTTATCATTTGATTTTGACTGTTCATTTTACCTGCAAACTAAATCACAAATAATACCATTAAAAATTCATAGCTAAATATGGTGCAATTTTGATACTGTCAAATAATTATAAGAACTATATGTGTCTGCGAGTACTGAGTTTTATTTAATTTTTTTTAACGACGAAGCTCTTGACATGCCTTGAGTAAAATTGTAACAAATAAGAATCATTGTACCTCGACATCGTCCCAGCAGTTTTGCGTCACAGGGCAACATGCCATTATGCAATTTAGTGGAGACAAACCTGCCACTTTCAAATCAGATTTATATCCGTTGATATCTTTTAGGACGTTTGTCATAATTGGACCCTTCACGGGAATGGCAAGCCATTTTCATTAGATGGGCCTGCCCTGGAGCCCTCATTGTTCGGGTAAAAACGTGTTCTTCATACCGATAGTAAATTGCTTCGAAAACCGCTATAGCTTTGCAAAACCTTGCTTTTGTCGGTCATCTAAAGCAATTATGAAAATAAGAAGACACCAGAAAGGAAACACATTCCCAGAGGGCTTAGATTTAGACTGAACGCACTATCAATTCATATGCCGTAATTAAAATCATGTCCTTAATTTGCCTCGTTCCTTCTGGCTGAAATTACATCTCGAGTCTTCCTCATAATTTTTGAGGCACTCATTAAGACCCCACCGGGTTCTTCAAGCAAAGGCAGATGGCAAACAAAAATGATTTCCCATACGACCCACATTTCATAATGAATTCCATTTTTTTTTTACTATGCCTGTGTATTGAATTCAGGACACAATTTTCCAGGATCCTAAAAATTACGGAACAAGTTCAAGGTCTATCCGTCTGCATTACTTAATGTGCGAGTCAGTGGTGCAAAGGTAAAAAAAACAGTGGAAAGGTTAACATCGTGCTTGGATATAAACAGAATGTGCCAGCATTCTCCACATGCACTAAGTGTTGTCTAACATAGCAGGAAGGTTCTAGTATGTCTATTAACTACAGGAAACCTACTGTATATTCTTTTATTTTTAGACATGTTTTGAAACGTAACAGAGAGGTCTCCTACAATAATGCATCGTAATATTTGCTATGCTTTAAGCGGTAGTGCCATTTGGATTTGGATTGTTTGTTGTTTGTTATCAGTGTTTTCGTTTGCGGAATCTAATTACTAGTAGGCCTAGTAAGAAAAAGTAATTGATACACCAGAATCGGATAAAACATAACATCTCAAAAAAGTTATGGGCACTGAGATAGGTAAAAGAAGCAAGAAAAAAAACACCAACAAACAAACACATGTTAGTTTAGTGTGAAACATTCCACCGATAACATTGTCATGCTTCAATTATATAGTGGGCATGCATTGGCTCCAGCCAAAAAACTTTGAAAAATGAAAAAAAAAATAAAAAAAAATTGGATAAACGAAGGAGAGAGTTTTCTTGAAAAGGCCTTAAACGGTATTTTTGACCAGAAACAAAAAAAATCTATTATGTCTGATTTTGGTTTTCAAGATGATACGTTACCTTAACAACAGTTTTTTATTGAACTGTGTGGGTGACAGGAGTATTCTTTGAAATGCCAACAATGAAAGAGAATACTTTGGTACGAGCAGAATTCGGCCCTTTGTATCAACTATTTCTTTTTATTACAGAGAAAGATGACCATGTATGCTGATATCCTATGCATCTGTTGAACACGTTTGTATATATTGAATTGCAGATGAAGACAGACTTTTCAGAGAACGAAAAAAGAGAGGTTTAGAAGCTGATTGAGAAACTTACAGCCGTAGGAACTCGTCTTGTTGTGGTTAGCTTGTTATATGAATGATGAGGGGGATATAAGAGTATATACACATTAGCAATGTGAGGTTAGTAAACGGAGTGCTGTAGACATGAAAATAGCAAAAACAAATACCGTGCTGTCAATGGTGCTAAGAAAGGACGAGTGTAAATTGTAAAATAGTGAGATTTAAAGAAAGTGAAGAAGTGTTACCACAATGGACATTAACACAAAGAACCATAAAATGTATTTTACGAGACACTGAAAACATCCAAGTGAACATAATCCCTCAAAATCAAGTCTGATATATGAACTGATACATAGTGTTTTAAAATATCGTATTTAGAAATGTGTCAATTGGTACAGAAGAATGCGTTACAAAACTATAGTACTTTAATACAGAAGGTTCGTACAACTTAATATCTCTGTCTTGCTTTTGAAACCAATTTTTGTTATAACTAGCAAATTATAACGGGGAAGATACAAGGAGTGCAGAAAGATGAGAAACTAAAGAAGTGCAACTGCGAAATCAAAGTGTGTATTAACGTAAGGTGCTTGTTGCTAAATCGTAAAGAGTGCAGAAAGTGCGATGTAAACAGCAGGATATTATGTTGTTTACCAAAGGAATGAAGCACACCATTAAACAAACAAACACCAACAGATTAGAGATATGTAGAAAAAAGACCAAAGACGTATAACTTCAAGTGTTATTTTAATCAGTGCAGCGATATGCAATTCATTAAACTGCCAATTCAAATAACTATGGGCAACTGACTTTGATTAGTTCGGCTGAAAAAAACCCCGCTCATGAAGGTATCTTTGAAGTATACCTTACTCAAAGTGTCGCAGAGAAATGTAAGAATCTACAAAATATCAGAACTGTGTAACAAAATAAATTAATGTACATTTGCCACGACAACGATTACTAAAAGGAAATAACACAGAATATTTTTTTATTGGCGTGCTTGTTAAACATTGTGCATTTTGTGCATAACATTGCATTTTTAACATTGTGCAAAGAGTATGACAACATACTACAGAAATATGTTGATAGTGATAAATATTACTTAAATTATCGTGCCAACTAAACTTTAAGCAAGCATAAACTGTCTTACCTTGAATCACGTTGAATAGCAGCACAGCAGCAAGAGCCAAGACAATCTTAAGCCTATCCATAGTTATCACGCTATGGTATCCCAGTCCGCCGACTTCGATAACAGAAAAAACCACACGGCCTAGAATATGACGCGGCAGAACACAAGTCGCAAATACCAACGGTGAAAATTACCGTGCCCAAATCGACGGGGCTATAAAGACGGATAATAACGGCTGGCGTTAGGGGATTGGGCGCCGTTTGCGAGGATGTGACGCGCGTGCGTGATGAGTAAGCTTGGAGCGCTCGGCTGAGATGGACGTGACAGATCTCGAGTCTGGCGCGTTAAGATTGATAAGGGCAAGGAAGGGGTTCACCCGTCCACTTGTGCCCGTTTTAAAAACCCGGCCGTCTGTCGACAGCTACGCCAGGAGTGGATGCAAACTGAAGCGCGGCATATCATCACATCTACGGCGCTCTCTCCCCCTGTGCGTTTCGCTCAGCCTGACTCACACCACACACACGCGGGTAGTACTCTGATGGACTTGAATCGATGCTGAAATTATCCGTAATTCAATCAATAGATTGCCACCTTTTTAATTTTTTCCACCACCCCGGGGCACTAGCTAGCTCTCAGGGTTGGGAAGCGCACATAGAAAATTAAGATTCTCCGACAGATGTGGCAAGATGGCCGCTAAACGATCGCGCTAAGTGATCAAATCAATACACGCTGAAAGTTTTGTTTTTAGGCAAATGAGTTTACGTTCAATTCCGGATAAATTGAAAGCCTGAAAGTGATGGACGGTTGATTACAAAACGAGGTCTTGCCGCATTAAAGTGCTGCTTGGAATGTACCTCTCGCTCCTGGAATGTCCCCAAAACACCCTGGAGTTGTCGTCAAAGAGAAATATATAGAGGAAAAGATCAAGACATCTTATTCCAAAGATCAAATCAATTTCTCCTTCTATAAGAATCTCCTTATACGAACACATATTCAATTTGAACGAGACGCTGTCTGACGTGCGGCTATAAGAACAAAATACAATTCGAAAATAGCGGAAGAAAGCGAACTACAAATGCTTTTCTCCTGCACTTGAAATTTATAAGAGCTGTCGTTGAGTCCTCTTGTAGAGCATGCATGGAATGACCAACTGCGCTTGAGGTCTTCAGCCGAAACGTCCGAGCGATGGGCGATTGAGAGTGTAGTTCCAATACTGAAAGTGAATCCGGCCCGAGTATAAGGCATGGTAAGAATACCCAGGTGATCTTGGGAAATCAACGAGTGTTGTAATTGATTGTCACGCTTGGGTGAACCACGTGCTCCCTGTTCATCAGGGGGGAGAATGAAACAGTCTGACCCTCAGTCTTAACGAAAAAAATCTGGTGTATCTCGATTATATAGTGAGAAGATGGTGTCGACTGCGCTGAACATCTTTTAACAGTGTTAGTCTTTAAACTACCCCGTTGACGAAGTGGAAGAACTAAACCAAGAAAAGGGAAGAGAAAAAACACATAAAATCAAAACCTATTATATGCCTTCCGTCAGGCTCAGGGTAGCAGAAGATGACAGCACTTTATAAGATCTCGTTCTAAACATCCAAGATCAGTTTTACAACGATAATTCAATATGTTTGGCATCAGATATCGAAAATTGTAGTTTTTTTGGTAGTAAATTACAGGCGTCTTCCCATGATTTAGAATAACTTCATTTTATATTTGTTGGTTTAAACCCCCCAGGAAACTCCGAGATTTAAGGACATGCCTCAAAGCTATGTAAGCCTCACTTATCCTCAATCCAATGATACCTATATCATATTCTACACAATTTCATTAAACTAGCTGTAGACGTTGCATAAACAGCCAACGGGAGAACCACACGTACCATGTTGTCAGATAACCTCATCTAAAGAAACACTATATGAGGGTTTTAGAATTTTAATCAAAAACCAATGTTTTTCATATAAGGAATGTATCATTACAGGTAGAATTAACGTAAAGATTTAATTACGAAAGAAGGCAGATATATTTGAAGATACTTCACCCTGCCTTCCACTCTTTTGCTGAATTGGATTTGCAGGAATCAATTCAATGAGACATTTAATAAACATTGCCTCTATGATTTCCCTATAGCAAACACATTATCTTGGAGAAACACTCATTTCACTAATTAGTCTTGTATCTTTCAACGTCTCCGTTTGGAAACCGATGGCTCAAATTTCATTGCGCTGCAGTTTTTTTTCCTAGCGAAATCACCAATTTGCATCCACCGTTCCCACTCCCAGTGACAAAAAGGTGACATCACTTGGGAGTTATCTTCGCACTCATTATCATCAAAGTGCCAACGGAGGCAAGACCGATGTGGCTGGGCTATTCTCGATTTTCTTCCCCCGTGTCTCCCGTAGGCTTCACAACAACACAGCCGGTATTAGTCTGTCAATCGATAATGTACATCAGACTTATGAGAGGAATCACAGTGCATGGCCACGTGCTCTTGTTTTGGGAGTTTTTTTTTTTTAATCCCGCCTCCGCGCTGGCGGGACTAGTGCTGCGGGAATAGAGCCATATCGATTCGACGTGCCAAGGAAGAAAATTATTTCAGTGCCGTGGGATCGAACACCAACACATGGCGTGGAGAAAACATTCAGATACATGACTTTGAAAAGTGCACCATGTCCATGCGCTGGGCTTACCACAGGCAGTTCAGGTCCATACTTCCTAAAAAAAAAAGAAGAAGAAGAAGAAGAAGAAGAAGAAGAAGAAGAAGAAGAAGAAGAAGAAGAAGAAGATGCGCAGTAACACTTCAAAATAAAAAAAATAATAATATTAATAATTCATAAAATTTTTGAAAATCCATGCCCCAGAAGACGAGATATTCTACCATGAAGGTTATAATTGTTGCAAAGTGCACATTATTCATTTATTACACAACTTGTATCTTCATGAATGGAATTATACAAGGACCCTAAGTAATCGAGTTAACCACATTCCTGGTCGCAAGTAGCAGCCTGCATGATGACATCATAAGGAATGTCTTCGTCACAGTTCATTTTAAAATTTTGTCAACATGAAATTTGGTGACTTGTGACTGACTTGCGAAGTTTTGTGATAGGTTCCTACAATCCTACACTGCAAAAACTGCAGTGTTAAATTTACACCATTGGTATCTATATAGGACCATCTGGTGTTAAATTGTACTGGTGTTGTCCTATATAGATACCGAATAGTGTTAAATTAACACTACAGTTTTTGCAGTGTACAATAACTTGTTAGGCCATCCACTCAAAATGAAGAAGTAACGTTTATGTTCTCTTACCTCCCAATTCCTCCCTGTAGCGCGTATAGGCATATATACTACTTTGGACACAATGAACCAAACCATTTTTTTTCTGGGGGCCATATAATATGATATAAACTCTCATATCTCGCCAACCAAAACCTTTACTTAGGATTGAATGCACAAACCTCTTCGCTAGCACATGCTTGTCAAACACACTTTCAATGTACGTGAACTCTATACGAGCGAATTCCTTTGTATCAGTTATCTGATCACTTGTATTCGGGGGAAAAATAAAAAATATATCTTTTGAAATTCAGCACAGGCGGAAGATTCTTCGTTGTATTCTCTTACCAGAAAAAAAGATGTGGAAAACAAATCACAAACTATCCTTTCCGACTGACAGCGTTTGACCCTTCCAAGTAAAAAAAATATCTCCATTGTAGCCGTTCCTTTCACGCTCAATTATCTGGCACGTGTTCCTTCAGTCACCCTGAACACTCTAGGCCCGGGGGCCCTTAGAGATCGTCCCGCGTTAATGCGAAAGGGTTTCTATTGCCGGAAATTAGCCTCAAGACTCGGAGAAAAAGGGGAGGAAAAATCCGAAGAGAAAACGGTTCAATCGATATTTTTCTCTTCCTCGGAGATTGGGGAGCAGCAGTGACCAAGCAATTGTGTTTTATTGCGATGCCATTCCCTGTTGCCTCGTCTTGGCTATCGAATAGTAATCGCAGAGGGCAGTATTTTTTATGTAAGCGTTTTATTCCTCGGACGTGTGCGAGGAACAGCTTGGGTAAAGGCCCCACTGTTTTGCGGCAATATCGTTTGTAAACCGGATCTGAACCGGAACCAGTGGCGATTAACGCATGGGCCTACCGCGCCGCGCCTGCGCGCAAGGTCTTCAACTTAATTTTTTTATTTATATTTTTCCCCACTTAATTCTCAGCACATCTTCCCTCAATGAGGAAACACATCATTTTGCTACAATCTAAGATGGAGTGATGATAAAGTTGTGTACAAAGATTACAATAACACGTTCATGGGAACAGGCTCTTATTAGTCACACCGTTCAAAACACTATATAACAAACAACCATACAAAAATAAAAATCGGCAATACGATTAAGTGCGACTAGAACAAATACGTTTCAAGAGTTTTTTAAACATTGATTTGATGTCAGAAAAAGAACTCATGGGCGTCGCCTGGATTTTTGTCTAGAGGGGGGCAAAGCACCCCCCCCCCTCAAATCCCTGCACTTTTCCAGCATATTCTCGATTTATCATTTTTCTCGAGGGTGGGCAGGGACATCCCCCAACCCATTAAATTAACAGCAACTTACGACTTCGGGCATCTTTTTCTTTCTTTCTCTCTCCCCCCCCCCCCAATTTTCCTCCTTTTTTTTTTTTTTTTTTGCTTTTCCAGGGTGGGGGGGGGGGGCAAGCGGCCCCCCTTGCGCCCCCCCCCCCGCCCCTCGCGACGCCCATGAAAGAAGTGACGTCAGCGTCTGTTAGGCATCTTGTTAAGCACTTCTGCCTCGAGGTCACGTTTACGCAAATTCGTTCGCATTTTCCACAGCGAATACGGCGCAAGATGCTCGTATTATTCAAATGATGGTTTTATGGAATCACGCTTGATCGGACAGGTAAATGGCACGTCAAACGTAGTCTAGATACATGTAAACTTGCAATAGAGGTTCACCAACCTGTTTGACCTTAGACAAATGCAGAGTCACTATACAAAGGTATGAAGCGATATTTTAGCAATAAACAGCAGAGTGCTTTAAAAATTGAGGGTTTGTCTTCGGATACATATACGTCCATTGTCATTATGTACATAATGACACAGAGTGTTGACCACACCCATCCTACCTCACCGGAATTGGTCATTGGACAATTTATTTCAAGTTAATAGTTTAAGGCAAGCCCATTCCCTCTACAACAGTACATTTTGGATGCATCACTACCCATCAGACCTTAATGAAGTCAATTAAGACTTACGAAAGTAACATTGATTAAGGGCTCATCAGCCAGGGTAGTTTCCACTAATGCCGGAAAATCAATTCTCACATCTGACTAAGAGCGGAAGGGCCTTAATACTCAAGGAACAAATTGCATTTTGTTCTGGTAATGTAGCGACTATACGCTTAACAGAGCATGGACCTCACAGCGCAGTACAGCGGCTATACCACCAGTACAATTAAATGGTGACGTAACGTTGTCAGGCGACCAATCCAATTCTCTGGAGGAACAATCCCATTGTGTCAACCAAACTCAATAGCTACAATGTACTGCACACGCTCAGACACGGGTGATCAAATCCATTTTGGGCCGAATAACGACTGAAGTTGATAACACTTTCCATAACGTTTTTTTTGTCAAGAATAATATTCCCTTTCTAGAGATAACAAATATTTCCATTCCCGAACGGAATATATTAATCTCAACTTGTCCATGTAAAAAAGGGAATCTTTCTGGAGAAATTGTTTTATTAAAGGATCACTGGGCCTCATCCAATATGACTTGGCTTGGACTTCTGTTCGTCGTTTGCAGCTTAATGACGGGTAAGTTTTTTTTTTCTTGGTCAGCTTCACTGCAAGGTCTTATCAATTATTAACAGCGAAGATGTGAAGAAGGGACTCTGGTATTTCCTGTTCTTCCATCGCACACAGAACGTTCTCTCGTTAAACCAAAACTTAAACCAAAGTTAAACATTAAACCGAAGAAAATTAAACTATTTACCAATGAAAATGAACGATGTAATAATTACTGGGAACCTATATATCAGATTGTAAATAACAAAATTGGAAGTTAACCGTTAGGTGCAGAATTTCTGGATAAGGTGCGTTTATTTGGATTATAACGTTTCTTTGCCCGTCGCTTACAACCGCCCTGTGCACCAAAGGGCTTTCTGTCACACTCTAAAAAAGCATTAGTCAGATTTGACTAGAAACCATTCAGGGTCAGCTGGGTGCAACTGAAAATCAGTCAATCTGACTAGATTTTTCCAGTCAGTATTGAAAAATAGTGGTGCAAATAACTAAAATTGGAGTCAAATCCAACTACTTTTCTGTAGTCATAGTATGAAACTTTGCATGTTTAACTAAATTCCTAGTCAATTTTCAATAATAGGAAAACCAGTCAATATTTTGACTGAGGTGTTTTTAGAGTGCAGTCAGCACGTCGTACCCCACAAGCTGAGGAGGCCCGAAATGTTAATCCCGGCCGAAATTACACACCTTTAAGATTTTTCTTATTAGGCCTGAATGTTTACGAATTCGTAAAAAAGATAACATGACAATGAATATTTCGAAGTGGTCTCCTCTTTAGAAAAATGCATTTCCAGATAAGTTCAAAGTTTTGTTCCTTCAAACAGCCACTCAATTTATTTTATTGTAAACAAAAACTCAGCTTACAACATTTTAAGGAACCATTATCATAACAAAAAATCATTCTAGACACAACTAAATATTCGCGTTTGACTCATCCCAAGGTCCTATCGATAAACATGTTGTCATACAAGCGAATTAAAGGCCGGTGTAATTTTGCGTGTCGACGAATGTGCTGGTAGTGCCGGCTAGGAATACACAAAAATGTGTAGAACAACTCACTGCCATTCCGTTCAAGCCATTTGTGACAATCATCGGAAGGAGGATATTATAAGATTAAACAGTCTAGATTAGAAAACTTATCGATGATATTAATTATTCCCTACATTGTTACACAAAAACTTGTATTTTGTCAGGATCGACACACGTAGACTAGCCAAATTGAAATGCACAGTTCGAATCCATCACTCACAAATTTGAAAATAGTTTGAACGCAGACCAAATTAGGCATGTACTGTTCCAAAGTGTTTCAAACAAGGTGATGGTCGTCTCCAGAAAAAAAAGAAATAACTGCTGACCAATAACTAAATGAAACATGCTTTTATTTTTTTCTTCGAACTTTGTGGATAGTTTGATGCAAAACAATGTGTACAACTGTTGACAAACGTTACCCATATGGTATGTTGGGCCACACATTACTTGAATAATTCATTTTCCGAAACCAAAAGCACATCCCTGGATTCAGTTTGGAGGTCGAGATCACGACCATAAGTTGAATATAAAATGAAGTACATGTTTCTGACTTAACCTTCCACACAAATTTAACACACGAAGTGTACCTGAGGAACGTTACAATGAATGAGCACCGGTACCTGCACTTTCCATGTTCCGTTTAGTGGATCATGAAGGAGTTGATTTCCATTATGAAATGTAGTTGAAATTTCTAAGTATTATGCCATAAATTTGAAATCACGATTAAACTTAGTATTCGCAAAGCAAATCCAAACAATTGCACAAGATTGACATTAAGATATGTAAGTATGCAAACGATTATGCTGGAATTATCGTATAAGTGGGTAGTGATGTTGGAGATGGTGTACATCATAAGCATCTCTCATTGAAATTATTCATTATAAGCTACTAATTCAATGTTGGGATCACAACTTCCGAGTAATCGACGATTTTGTTTTTTTCGAGCATCAGTGTTGGTGGCGTGTTTTGTGTAGCAGAGTGATATCCTATAATAATTTATGTCAAATATCTCATAACATAACAAGATTATCTGGCACTCGGAGTCCATTCCAAACACAGATCTATAAGCCGACTTATTCGAATGGACGTGGTCAGAGGAAAACTACTTGCTGCCGTTAATCGATGAACCAAATTTGATACCAAGTTATGGGGAGTCAGGTTGGCGTAGCGGTACTTTCCCCGCCTTCCACCGCTGTCATGGGTTCGAATCCCGCTTGGGCCAATGTGGATTGGGTTTTCAGTCCCTACTTGATTCCGTGGGTTTTCCCCAGAATATTCTTCTGGCCTCCTCCCACCTCTAAAACTGTAATTTCTTCTCAATGTCTCCTCTCTACATGTTTCGTCAGGCTTCGGGCTACATTGCCTAGGGCACTTTTGAGGAATCCTTGGTTTTATTACCAGAAAGAAATAGAATTACTAGATAATCTTTTTCATAACAAAGAATTATATTTGTTTACCTGAACAAATAACTCCCTTTATACAACTGAGATACTGTCATTCTTAAATCTAGAACTACATGTGCAACAGAGCCAATCAATACATTCGTAAAACCGGTCTGACAGTTATGTGCGCAACGTCGTTAACCGTACACACAAATTGCTCTCTCTCTCTCTATTTCTCAACCCAAGCATAAAGGATTATGGGCCTTAAATTCCTTGTAGAAAAAGGATTTGCAGAAAATTGAGAGCTGACAAAAGAGCGGCTGTGACAAGAGTTAATCCTCAGAAACATGGCCGACATAATAATAAGCCAGTTACTTGCTGAGGGCTTTAAGGTCGGAGGAGACAGTGTAGCGCCTAATCCTAACATCTTTGTTACCAAAATGGATGTAGATTTAGGGGAAATGTCTTTACAAATGTATTCGTAAATGTGAGCACTCTTAAGGTTGAAGACTTAAGTACACATTGTGGGTCTTATTTTAGTCGACAGTTGGTTCTTAAAAAACGGTCACAAATGCGATGGACGACAGGGCCGTTTTTCAGGCCACCACCAAATTTGAGTTTCCTTTTTGGCGCAACCCATCATGTAGTGTTTCTGAACAGTTTGTTCGAAATTATGTCAACTTAAAAATGTTTGCCCAAGACCTACGGTTGTCATTCGCTTTCTGTGCAACAACCCAGAGGAATAGCTTTGGCATCGATGATCCAAGGAAAAAAAATGAAACAAAACAGCAACGATCTGTTGTCTTTGGTCGCCCCTTGAGAGCTTTTTTAATTAATTTGAGTACGCTTTTGGTAAGGTTAACTTGATGCCAGGTAATGTCTTTTTTGCGAGTCTGCAGTACGTATTTCAATTATTATTGCCCGTTTGCACTTCTACACAAATTATGTTGCGAAAACACTACTGTGCTCATTGAAAAGTTTAATCGCTCAGTTGATTTTGTTGACCCTCAGTAGCCTAGACAATTATGCACCTATTTGTATAATTTCACAAAATATGCACCTATTTACATAAAAAAGTATCACATTTGATCGTCGACTTCAACCATGCCACTTGAAGACACAGAAAGCGATGCGCACAGATATTTTGGAAGCTTTGGTAGACGTGACAATTATTACATGTATTAGTTAAAGTACTGAACTCTCATAAGTCCGACGCCTCATAGGTCCGACGCCTCATAGGTCCGACAGAATCGCATCCCCTAACCAAATAAAGGCTCATAAGTCCGACGTCTCATAGGTCCGACGCCTCATAGCTCCAACGCTTCGTAAGTCCGACAAATTAAACGCCTCGTTTTTCTGTAGTCGGACTTATGAGGCGTCGGACTTATGAGGCGTCGGACCTATGAGGTGGAATAAATAAATTTTATGCCTCATAAGTCCGACGCCTCATAAGTCCGAAATTTCGGACTTATGAGGCGTCGGACCTATGAAGCGTCGGACTTATGATACGGCCCCCATTCTCAAATCAACGCATATCTGCGCCGGTCGATGGTGGATCCAGAACAATCCGAAATTTTGTTGGATTCTAGATGCTCTGTGGTGCGATCTGAGGCAATTTCTGACCACTTTGGCCATTCTTTTTGAGGAAAAGATGGGTAGTGTACGCAGTGCCTGCCTTTATTGCGACGTCACTTGAAAAAAAAAATGGGTTCGGGTTTTTTTTTTGGGGGGGGGGCATGCCCCCCAAGGCTTGGTGCCAGTTGCCTTATATTCAGACAAGCATTAACATGTTCTTGGTTTATCTTTTTAAAAGAAAATGGCAGATGATCGCGTTGGAGCTGCAGTGGGCTAATTTTGCACAAACATTCATGATTGCTCTATAACAAACTTCACAACCTCATTATCCGAATCGTATTTGGGTACGAATGCCTTGGGGCAGATACCAAATAAAGCAGACACTACGCCTTAAATAATCCTTACTGAATGTACACCAACGTGGGGGATGACAGACCACGATGACTTAGCTTGGCCGGTTTAAGGATGAAGAAGAATGGGCACCTCAAGAAAATCCAATACTATTTGTTTAACAATGAATGGGCTGAATAAGCCGACTGCACGCAGGGGTTAAGTTTCGGATTGCCGAGGGAATTTCATCAAGCACTGTTATAAACAGTCGGCATATTAGCCTCGTATATCTCACCACTGCAGCGGTATAAATCGGGTACTCTGGCTACATGTACGCGATGCTCATAGGTTATTAAAGGAACGTCCATTGCCTCAGTGACAAATTCTCATTCATGAAATACATTCATCGAGAAATTTTCTAAATTGGTCCAGATATTAATGTCGGTACTGTTTTTGTACAGTCTCGCGGCGCCGTCTTGCACATGGATATTTTCATACGAGTTTGAACTTAGGATGAGTGGGGTACAACGTGACTTCCTACTGACACCCGTATAGACAAATTCAAATCAACTTTGGTTAATATTTCATCGTAGAAAATTAGGAATTTATATATGCGGGTCTTAAGAAAATTATTGATGACGTTTGCCTGTCAATTATTTCGATAATTGCGATTTTATTTTTTAGTTTTTAGCAACTAGCCTACTACATGTATACCAGTTGGTATAGTTGAGGGGTATAGAGTCCCTGTGCTAATTAAACACAGTTTTCTGATATTTTGTTTATTTATTTTTATTTCTTAAATCAAAACTTCGGGTCTTGAAAAAACTGAGTTGATAAATGTATATGTTGCATAATTACCTGATTCCTTTAGTGTATCTTATTACATATATTTGAATGTTATCGAACATGAAATTTTAGAAGTGAACTATTACGCATAAACATACCTCATAAACAAAATAAGTGTCAATGAAATTGTGCAAACATACGAAACTGAGTACTTTGCTTGCAGTCAATTAATATTTCCTTTGATTCGATGAATGTACACACCATTTAATTGGTCGTATTCCTTTCATGCCCGAGAGACTGTGCACACGATTATTTGTATGACGTTCATAGTAGACAATAGTCGCGGTCAAACAGTTTGCTGATTGCTACCGAAGCCAATTCTTGTCTGCGCAGGTTCCCATCACACCGGTTCCCAGTCAAGCAGCAAACTATCGAAGAAGACAGACTTATTTTGCGAGCCCAGACTGCGTAAAGCATTAAAAGCGATGCAGAAATAGATGGAAGGTGACATTGTATAGACCGAGTCAGAGTCTGGAGTAAGCAGGCGCAGTTTTTTCATGTCTGCGTATCTTAAGAGCTTTGGAGGTATTGACCTTTTTTACAATAATTTCGTGGATTGAAAAAAAAGGGACAAATGCCGCCACAGTAAATAAATGCATATCACAACAAATAGATGCATATAATGTGTACTGCGTATCATTGTTATATAAAAGCAAGTAGTGGTTTTTTTTTTTTTTTTTGGGTGCAGCACTATACTCATAATGTTTGTGTATGGCCATTTCCCATATATTTTTGGTTCGTAATGAACGCTGTCCTTTCGTCGGGCCGCAAAACCAGGATAATTATGAATTACATCTGCATTCATAATGATCCCATGTAGACACTCTAAATATGAAGTACTGCCACAGTTCGCAAGGGAAATGTGGCCAAAAATGCATTCCGCTCACGCTGTTCACAACTCAGTCACATTCGAGAGATGTGTACATTTGAATTTCATTTGGTCGTGCTCCAACGGTTCCAAACATCCCACAAAATTGCCATGCACATTAAGTAAATGACAATTAAGCACTCCCTGTAGAGCTAAGAGGAGTACATTCGGCCAGCAATTTAATACATGGTGATTTTCACAAAACCCCTCTTGCGTTAATCTTGTCGAGTTTTGTGTTATTGTCATCGTTCTAAACGTTTTTAAACGTTTCAGGGAATTTTGATCATTTTAAACATTGCACAACTGTTGAATTCGACGGTTTTTTTTTTTATATTTTATTGAATGAGGTACTTAAATCCTTAGGTGTATTGTTTACTGTGGGGAGTCAAATGATGTTAGACATCACAATACATGTCGTTCGCGGATATCGATTTTTCCCTTTCTGAGACGTTGACTTTTCGACTATTGATTAAGTGTTCATTGGCTAGTAATACAAATTCTCCATACAGCAAATAAATAATAGATTAGTTGCACATACATATCCAAGTGAACAACTTAGATACACGCAGTGCACAACTTGCAAACACCTTTAAACAACATAAAGGGCAGATATTGTCAGGGAATATTCAAAGATGTGTGTTCATTGGATAGCATTCACATTAATATGTGGATATTGTTGCAGGAGTGGCCAACAGTGTTACACAAAATCAGACAGGAGGTATGTCAAATACATCGTCTACGAACTGAAAAAAATACGGCTGACAACCACATATAACACTAATGCTAAACAAATATAACTACTTCTGCTTTCTGATGCGATATCCTTTTCTTGACTGTTAACCATATCTCTCTGCAAAGTATGCTATTCATTGACCCTACAGACATTCCTTATTTGGATTTCCGCACGCATTCATTTTTCAACTATAATATCGGTAATTCTTTCATGATCTGACTTTACCTGCAATTTTCAAGGTGAAGGGTCAGGTAATCCGGCGATTTCGTTAATGACAGTTTTCTTGCTATGGAATCTATATTAGTCATTAACAGAAGTCATATTATATTGTAAAAAAATTAGATTCCAACACATTTTTCCTTGTAAAAGGTGTGATATGGGAACCACCCTCACCCGTGTTCAAATTTCTGGTACTCAATTATATTGACGGTGTGTTACTCAGAATCTGACGCAGATTTCTATACTTATATAATCCAAAGCTTACACTTTTTACTTCGAACTGCGCTTCTCACTTCACGCTTAAATTAAAGCAATGTTTCTTGCATAACTTTCAACTAAAAAAAGCTGAATAATGCTCCCAAATGTTTAATTGATTTTAAAAGTAAACTCTGTACTTGGTGGGAAATGAATATAAAACAAAATATTATCACGTCTCATTTAAGCTAAATATTCCTTTATATTGCTCATATATTTAGGAACGGAGGGAACGCTGTTCGAGAACGAACTTCTTAAGGACATGTTCGCCAATTACAACCCAATAATTCGCCCGGTGCTCAACGCGTCAGCATCCATACAAGTCAGGCTGGGTGCTGCTCTCCAGCAGATCATAGAAATGGTAAATATGAGGTGATTTGGTAAAACACTGTGAGCAAGAAGGTGAAGTATTACCGAGGACGTGTTTACCATAATTATTCCCATAGTTCACGAGGCTTCGTGTGTCATTTTTGTATTGTGCAAACCCCTAACTTCACTGGAAATCATGGAGCAATTTCGGGCGAGGACTATTCGACTAGTGGTTGATTTGTCAAACACTGCTTTACCTCTTGGCCCTTGCTCCCTGACTTGCTTAATGGTGTTGCTATTGGTAACTAATGACGCAACCGTGCCCCAGTATCCGGTTCCAAATAGTCGACCAGCGTAGTCCAACCACCCTGTGCTCGATCGAGTGAAGTTAGTCGAAAGACTGTCAACCAAAGTCTTTGCTCGTACCTGCTCATGGTTGTTGACGAACGAGTTGTCCTCACCAAACCCTCAAAGCAGGCTTCGCATTATGATGGAATAAATTGATACCAGTATTGATAGATGTATGGTTTGGTGGTTGTATGTCTAATTGATTCGACATTTAATCTGAAATTAACTATAAAAAGTACTTTCAGTAACTACAATCTTACCAATTAAGCCTTAACCCTTTTTCTTTTATCCATGCATTTGATGACAGGATGAAAAGAACCAGGTGCTGACTGTCAATCTATGGATGCGAATGGTGAGTGGGCCAAAATGGGTATATTCTATGGCACCGATGCGTGCAGAATTAATGAATGATGAATCGAATCAGATTTAGATAAAACAGAAAGGTAAGGTAAGATAAGGGTTCAAATCAAATTCTTCTGTACCATGCAGGATGTTAATTCCTCTCAGCAGGAAAGCTAGGATTTTGAATTATTTAATATTACTACACTGTTGCACGTGGTAGTAATCGACAATTTTGTTGTTTGTCGATGGTTAAGTATTTCTTTTATCGTCTAGCTTCGAAATTTTACAGACCGTGATTTGCGTTTACCATTTTTGGGGTTTCATTTTCGTGACAGCAATGGACAGACAGAAATTTCCACTGGGATCCGGCGGACTACGGCGGCACTGACACGCTCATCGTCCCAATCAACTCAATATGGAGACCGGATATCGTACTCTACACCAAGTAAGGTCATCTTCTCGGATACTTTAAACGTCATTCTAAACCGTGTACGGCCGCTGAAAATTGTCTGATGTTTCATTATATATGCACGAGCGAGAAAATGAACCAAATTACGAACCATTAGAAATGACGAAAGTATGGGAGGTTTATGTGGTTTAGAAAAAAAGTTGCCGATTACACCACCATTTTGCGTGGTAATTTTGCCGGGCCCATGTACATGTATCTACAACTCAAATACCCGATAAAATAAGAACGGAAAACTGGTGAATTAACAGTTGGCGACTTTCTTCGAGCCTCATGCATCTGCTTTACTCGTATAATTTCTAATGGTCCATATACTTTGCGCACATTTTGATAATTAGTGGAATGATACCATAACAGTTGGGCACAAAATTAAGTGTCACTACAAAGGTGCACCAAAGTTACCGAAAAAGAGACCGAAAAAAGGTTTTTTTTAAATCCAGTATTCTAAAATTATCCTGTATCGTTATTTGTGTTAGTGCTGACTCTGGCTTCAGTGGTATGATGGAAACCAACGCAGCCATAACAAACACAGGCATCGTGTACTGGAACGCCCCCGCTATCTACACCAGCACCTGCAAGATCGATGTGTCCTTCTTCCCCTTCGATGAGCAGCGCTGTCCGCTCAAGTTCGGCTCCTGGGCTTACAACGGCTTCCAGATCGACCTGGTCAATCGCTCCCTGTCCGGGGACATCTCGGCGTACATCGACAACGGGGAATGGGAGCTGATTGGCATGCCCGTGCGCAACAACATCGCCTACTACCTGTGCTGTGTGGCTCCGTACCCCGATGTCACCTTTACCATTGTCATGAGGCGCCGACCGCTCTTCTACATGTTCAACCTCTTGGTGCCTTGCATGCTGATTTCGTTGATCACTGTGCTAGACTTCTATCTACCGGCGGACTCCGGTGAGAAAGTTACCCTCGGTATCACCATCCTGCTAGCCCTGATCGTGTTCCTGCTTCTTGTCGCGGAGACTATGCCGCCTACTTCGGAAGTTGTTCCACTCATTGGTAAGAGTTAGGGGTGGTCCTTCATAAATCTTTCCAAGAGCTGAACAATCCTTGTCAAATACTCTCTAACTAATACTGACTAACGCGTAGTCACACCGTTAAGGAATGATCTCATATTTGTTAATTGTATATTAATTGTTTTCAGACGAAAATAATCATCAGCTATGTGCTGCATTGAGTTTAAGATAGCCGAGTGTTTTAACGTTAATTCGCATCAGGAAAATTGACGCATCACTTACTTGCTGACCGGGAGGGGGGGGGGGGTTGATAATAATTGTTTAGAGCTGATTTTTAATCTTTAATATTGTTTTTTTTTTAAATTGCTACAGGCCAGTACTATCTCGCCACTATCGTCCTGGTCTCTGCCTCCACAGGGATGACAGTCTTTGTCCTGTACCTTCACTATCGCCTTCCGGGCACAAAGCCCGTGCCCTCATGGCTTCGCAGCCTGGCCTTCAACTACATCGCCCGCATTCTATGCCTCAGTTCCACAATCAAGGTGGCACCTGCTCCTCAGAGCCCGGAGGTCATCGAAAACAACCACCTCTCCAACGGCAACGTCCACACGGACAAGAGCTACAAGACCAACGAGAACAACATCTCCACCGTGACCTTACCTCCACTTGTCTCTGAGAGGTTCCAGAGGAACGTCAATTCCATCCTTGACGAGCTCAAGTTCATGACGAACCGGACGAAGGACTCGGACGTGGAGGAGGAGATTCTCACGGAATGGAAGTATGTGGCCATGGTCTTCGATCGCTTGTTCATGTGGATCTTCCTGATCACCACCATCGTAACAACAGTTGGTATTCTCTGCCAACCAAAGCCCTACACACTTCGAGAAGACTTGTAAACTTTTCTTGGTTTTCAAATACCAAAAAAATATTACCCGGGCCAATAATGAGTCACAAACTACAATTTATGTCATATTTCCAGGGGACTAAAGAAGGCAGCGAACTTAATGGTGTCTATCCCGGTCGTAGTCTGAGGTTAGACGGCCTACAGTAAGACCACTTGCCGTAATTCCCGTATAAAGTGGTAAAGGCTGGTCGATTAAACAATGACGTTTTGTTTATCTCACACCAAGCAGCTTTGAGCTATCCCGGTACTGCTTTTGGAAAGCTCATCATCAGGAATCGTGGTACAATCATGAAGCATTGTATTTTGCAATACGGACACGATGGTGTTAGAGATTGCATATTGATCAAAAGAGTGTTGTGCCGAAAGTCAGTGCAGTTCCATAGTGGTTATTCACTGGTAACAAAATAAGTTGAACTTTTGCTGATCATCAATTTGTTGAGAAGTTCGAATCCCATGTCTCTCGCCGATAAATACTGACAATAATTTGACTGATAAAAGCATCTTTTGGATTTTATTCACCCTGTCCACTACATTTGTTATAGCATTTTTACTATGCTACACAATGGTGATTAATATAATTTCTAAGCTAAGCGACACAATAATTATGCTTTTTGTGGATATAATGTTTTGACTCAAATATTCAGTTTAACATTGATTATAATTTAATCATATCTGGAAATAATGTTAAACTCCTGTGATGTATATAACTCGTTCAGGGAGCGTTTTTATGAAAAACAAGATCTGGATATCATCTGTTGAACACAAAATCAGCAGGTTTGGTACACTTGGAGGCAAAACCATAGAAGGTAATTGCCATTCAATACCATGACCGATATGATTAGTGGAAATGTAACAGCTGACAAATGTTAATACACGTAAAGTAGTGCCTTATACGACTTAATAGAAACAGTGATAATCGTTTTTATTAATCTTATCGTTTTGCTTGATCAGAAACTATTTTAAAGAGTGTCTATTATATGCCTGTCATGGCTCGATGTAATAATTATGAAGAAAACGTTTAATACATGCAGACGTTCTGACTCATATTTTTGTTCAAACCCCAACTTAATTCAGCTCAAATGTATGCACTGTACAATTTTTTTCATGTATCTCTTTTTGGAAAAAAAAAACAATGTCCGTAGTGATTATTTCTAATTATTTTAAAGTACCTAGGCCCAGTATGGACAATCTTATTTATCCAAGTAGCTTTTGTTTGCTGGTACATTATTAAAATGGCCAATCCGGTAAACCAACAGGGCCTGTAATACCAACAAACAAACAGGGAAAGGCTGGGAACAAATGTTTAGAGGGAATCAAAATGTGACCATATTGTCATTTACAGTAAAAGCTCTGTGAAGCATATAATCTTGATAATCGTGTTTTAGGATCGTGTGTCCCTTGTTGCAAATCCTTTAAAAAAATATTGTTATATAAATATATGTAATTAAAGTACTAATAAACACAAGGATCATTACGTTGGCTTTTGTGATCATTATGTCATTGTATTTGCAACCAGGTTGCTGTTGGCTGCATGAGGAACATTGGTGACCACTTTTGCAGTGGCGGGTCTACAGGGGTCCAAACCTATAAACCTAACCCTATTAGTCCACATTTAAAAAAAAAAAGATTATCGTGCAGACAAACATAGAAAATGACTGATAACCCCCTCCCCCTTTTCAGCTAACCCCCCCCCCCATCAAAACCCGGATTCGCTGCTGTTTTTTTTACATCTCAATTTTTATTCTTATATCAGAATTCGTTAGGCGAGACTATGCTTGAGTAAAATCTCCCACACAGTCGCATTAGAATATTTTTTATTCTCTGATTAGGCACCCCTAATTAAAAAAAACACCTCCTCTTTTTGAACATCTGTACCCGCACGATAACAACACATGAAATGTCTTTTTATAAACTTAACAAAAGCAGACCTGTTGAATGTGCGGCGATCCTCTCATTCCTCTGCATTCGTCGGTCCTCATTCTTCAGTCCATCTACTGAACATTCCTCTCCTGCTTGCCATCGCGTTGTTTTAAACAATGGACACTAAGTCAATAATAATGGACCACAAACAAAGTGTTGTCAACAGGTGGAAATTCCTGATTGGAATGGTTCGTGCGTTCGCGACTAATTGAATGGCGTATGAAACATTGTTAGCTTAATAGAACACCGTGGAAACAAGAAGGCGACTGTAATAGGTCGACTGGCAATTCGGTGTTGAAGTCCCTGAAGTGAGGTGAGACATCTTGGGATCTTACAAGTGTAGTGGAAGACACGTACGGGACTTATCTGACATCACAGACTGACAAACTTTGTCAAATTGATAGTTGCCTGGGTCCTTTCCCGGACAAATCATTGTAATCTTGAACAAAAGTGTGTTTGTAGGCATTTTTTGGAACTGACATATTTATGAGGTCGGTAAAAAGTAAGAATCTTCAAGTACAATAAGTACTTTATTGAAGGACGCCCCGACATCGATGTTGCAATGGTGAGGACAATTTTATGGCTATGTTTGGCCCTATGGACGACCTGTAAGTACAACAATTTGTTTCATTTGTTCTAGTTTCGTTTGAAAATTCTGTCTTTCAATTGCCCATGAAAATTAAAATGGTTAAATGCACCAGCTAGAGGCAAACTGGCCAGTTTCACTCATGAAAATAATCGCAAGTCCCAGGTCCGTTTTCCTGCATTACCCACAAACGTCATTGACAGGAGCTGTACAGAACTATAGTGGCGAATGTATATTGCAATCTTCCCGGAATGATGTCAAGCGGATGATGGATATAGTTCCCTGTTAAGCGTATATATTTTTCGGGTTGTTTTCAGGTTCGAGAGAAGTGGGGCTATTTGTATACTATGTGCGTATATCAAGCCAAAGGGGGGCCGAGAATGGGAGCACGCCTCCCCTGCCCGCCTCGAGGCATGCTAAATATTAAATAGACCGCGTCCCATCCTTTCCTATGCCATAAATCTCCCTGAATCTTGTGCCCCAAATTTCCCAGTAGTTAGTCTGCCAGAAGTCCATTAATCTTTGATCTGCCAATTTGTTCGCTCTTTTCCCTGTTGCTGAGGTGTCGATGCCACGCCAGATATGGAGCGGCTCTATGCCGATCTGTTCCAGACCCTTAACCCTGCTATACGACCCGTTGCTAACGCTAGCGACCCAGTCGTCGTGACGGTGGGAGCAGCCATCCAAATGATCGTAGAAACGGTGAGAGTTTAACAAACGCGAAATATTTTAAAGGTTGACATGATAGAGTGACCGGTGAATTAGAATGTAAGGGACACCATGTGACGGTATACTGAAATCCAAATGATATACGTATTTGCTACTTACTTTTTTCGCGGGAATAAAGACCCCTGAAGTATTTTGAACTTCAGCTAGATTGACCTGAGTCTGAAAACGCTTGCCCATTTTATGCGAATTTGAATGAAAGTGTTTTTTTTTCAAGAACCAATACTGAGCAAGGTATGAAATTGGAAAGGAAAACCTAATAATCATAAGGAGGTTCATGTTAGTTCGAAAATTTGGGACTCTCAATACTGTGTTGATGTATGAGAGTCCCAAAACTTATTAACGTTATTGAAAACATGAAATACAAGAAAATAGACTGGTACCTGAAACAACCAGTCCAGCAACTCTTCAGTGCTACATCAATCAAATGTGTCAAAAGACATCTGGTATGTCTGGTACTAGTCTCTATTTCTACACATTTTCTCATAATCAGCAATCAGACTAATGGCAATGGATGAAGAGGTCAGTCTTTTCAAACAGTCAAACCATGGGTGGACATGCACCAGTCTAGTCTTTAGCCTCATTTAAAATCACTTGACTTCCCTCCCTTGTGCAAAATATTGAAGAAAAGTCTCCTTTAATATTGAATTAACACTTCAAACTTGGTACAGAAATACTGAGGACCTTTTCTTTACCCAATGACAGTTTTGGAGAATTGTGTTGCCTAAAGAGTGAGTAAAGCTGGCCCGTTTTACATGGTTTTTTTAGCATTCAATATCCCAGTCTGGGTTCATGTATATGGAAAGAATTCCATAAATGGCCATCGCAATTGTTTTCCCTGCGCCATGACCTATTAGCCATCAGAAAGAGATAACATGTCCTAAAAAGTCAAATTTGGCAGGGAAAATATGAAGCCTTTACTGAGAAAACACTTAGAGGGTTTGTGGCACAGGGTGTCAAGTGATGTCCAGGTATGGAACTCTTTCCATGTATACTACCCTTCTTTAAATGTCTTGTTCCCCTTGGCAGTTAATATTACTGAGCAATTTGGTCGAGACGGTTGAAACTTGTCATGTAACCTGGAGCTACTTTTTTTCCTTCTTACCCCAAACACTGTAGTGTATTTGACAAATCAATCTGTAATTCCGATTACCCTGAATCTTATTTTTAGGACGAACAAAACCAGCTACTTACAACAAGCATGTGGATGCGATTCGTAAGTATTAAAACTATACAATATTCCTGATGGGTCCCATTATGCAGTTCGAAAAACCTGAATCTGCCCTAACATGCATGGCTTTTCATGAAAGCTTTTTAAAAATTTTGAACGCAAGAGTGCGTAAAATAGTTTGGTTATCATCATTGACACTGCGGTGTAAATAAGCATGAGTTAACTTGTCCTAACTTTCCTATGTCACTTTGTAGTCATGGGAGGATGCACTTTTACGCTGGGATCCTGACGATTATGGTGGTACAACGAGTCTTGTCGTTCCGCTTCACAATATCTGGATACCAGACATCGTTCTTTACAACAAGTAAGTTTCATCGTAAAAGATTATCATTACCATTAGCAGTAAAAGGGATTGTTGTGCACTTTGGTGAATCAAAGTGAAAACAGTTTCTCAAAAATGGGTAAAATACCTATGCCACTCTAGTAAAATACTCTTGGATGTCTCATACTCTGGAAGAATGTCTAATATCTAGGTTTTAGCATAATGTTTGATGGGATTCTTTCCAATATCTTTTTGCAGTGCGGATTCAGAATTCCGAGGAATGATCGACACCAGTCCTCACCTGACCCACTACGGCGTCGTCTATTGGAACGCACCGGCTCTCTACAAGAGCTCGTGCCGCCTCAACGTCAGATACTTCCCGTTCGACGAGCAGCGTTGTATTCTTAAGTTCGGGTCCTGGAGTTACGACGCATCCGGAATCAACCTCGTAAACCGCAGTGCGGCCGGGGACATGTCTAGCTTCATCGACAACGGCGAGTGGGACGTCATCGGCATGCCTGTCCGGAGGAACGAGGTGTACTACAGTTGCTGCCCGGTTCCCTACCCGGACATCACTTTCACCCTCGTGCTCAGGAGAAGGCCGCACTTTTATCTCTTCAACCTCCTAATGCCGTGCCTACTTGTCTCCTTCGTCACTGCTCTGAACTTTCTCTTGCCGGCTGACTCTGGGGAGAAGGTTGGTCTGGTCCTGACTGTTCTCTTGGCGCTTACCGTGTTCCTGCTGATTGTTGCGGAAACTATACCGCCGTCAAATACGACGCCCATCATTGGTAAGTTCAAAGAAACCAACGGTATGTGATAAGGGCTTAGAAACGCTGCGTTCCGTTGTAGAAATGAGTAAGCCACCCTAATGAATGAAAGGTTTGCGGAAACACAATGTGCGAATGCTTTTTCAACTAAGAGAATGGTTCTGAAATGAACCGGCGGTTTCAGAACCATTCTCTTAGTTGTGAAATCATTCGCACATGGTGTTTCCGCAAACTTTTCATTCATAAGTTTCTCCACCATGCAAAGCTTCAAATCTTACGTAATCTTACTCAATACTTATTCATCGGCGACTAAACGAAGAAAATAGGCCTACACATTTATCCATATTACCCAGATTAAAAGCCAGAAATCAAATGGGAGGGGCTTGACCTTAAACAGAAAAAAAAACCTATCAAGGCAGCTGAAACAGCCACCTCAATCCTTTCTTCCCCATCCAGGACCTGTTAATAATACTTGCCGATCTTTTCGACTGCTAGAATCTCCCTAATCACCAAACAGTTCCCAAAAGTTGTTGTTTATGTCATAACTGCCGATTATAACTAAAGGGATAGGCTGGACTGTCTTGAGTATAACTTCAAGGAAACATTTTAGTCCATTCCTAAAGAAGTTGTAAGGTTTTCTCCCTCTGTCATTAGCTGGTGCACCCATGCGACTAATCCAAGCCAGTGATCACTGGACACTTGTGCTATCTGAACAATAGCTATAGTACAATGCTTTTGCCATTTAAGGGGCCTCCGTGATAGAATTGATAGCGTGCCTGGCTTGGTCTGCAGGACTTAACCTACTGCTTCTTCAAACGAACTCCAATAACACAACACTATATTCGTTGCTTCACTCACGAAGTGACAAAAACCTCGAAAATCGATAATTGTTCGATTTCGAGTTTTACTAGCCTTTTTATTATATTTGTCTCAAGGAACAAGTTATCCAAGTTTCAAAGCAAAACATTGTTACTTTCTTAGTTATCGTACGGAACATTAAGAGGTTTTTTGTCACTTCGTGAGCAAAGCGATGGCCTATAGTTAAAACAATCTTTCTTTGCTCTATGTTTAGGTAAATACTTCATCGCCACCATCTTCATCGTCTCTTTGTCTGTGATCATGACCGTCTTCGTGCTTCACCTCCACTTCCGGCTACCAGGGGTTGGTCCCGTCCCTATATGGCTCCGCAAACTGGCCTTCGTTTCCCTGGCTCCGCTGCTCTGCGTCCAGGCATCCTACGACCACGGTAAGCCGATTCTGCCGACGGAAAGTAACGGTGGACACCTAGGCGACATCCCTGTCAAGAACCGCAAGACGAAGAAGAGGTCCCGGTGGGTTTCCACAGAGGATGACAGCAATGATTTGACAGATCTGGCACGAGCGGTTGCCTCCATCGACGGCAACCTGCACACCTTGGTGACACGATGCAATGAGCAGGACGCAGACGAGGACATTCTTACACAGTGGAAGTATGTTGCAGTCGTCTTTGATCGCTTCTTCTTCGTTGTTTATGTCATACTGACTGTAATGACGACCATCATCATACTCTGTCAGCCAAAACCCTACTCGGAATAGATGAAAAATGGAGCACTTGCGAATGTCGTTATCTATACAGTCTAATTATCCACCTGATGGCAAATAGAAATCAAAGGCCGGTCCGTATGTAAATATATCAGTCTTACCGTAGAGCCTATTAAACTGTGAGCGGGTACGCTGCCATCTAACAGAAAAGTATTACTTGTTGTATAATATTATAAAAAACAATGAATATTTTCAGAGGCTGTATATTAAATTGCAGTTCTGGACAGTTAATATTTGTATATAGATTGAAAGAAAAGCTGACAAAAGACTTTTTACTGCTCATGCATTAATATGTCCAACTCAGGAAAACAAATGGATCATTTATTGATATTTCTAGTACTTCGTTACGTTTGCCTTTTGTACCCTCATTTGATTCAGTAATTCTTTAAGTAAGCATGAACAAACTACATTGAAAACCAAATTGCCTTTGAAAAACAGTTTATCCGCATTTGCAGAACTGCATGAGCACTCGCGTAACTCTGACAGGTGTTTAGATCCGGTAGTTTGTTATAAATGTATTTGCAAGGCTGTATATTCTTTACACATGTATAATTATCAAGAACTCGTTGCAGTTGTCACGAATATTAATAGTTTAATATAAGTTCCAGCCTTTATCATTTGGTATCGTGAAGAATTTAAATCTTGTTTATTTCGTAGATTAGCTTTATTAATCGATTCTTCATTTATTGCTCTCTAAACCATGTCTTTTGTTGTGTTGTGTCAAATCTGTAAGCAGCTAAAGCAAACATTAAATCTGTTTCTGATACACCACGAGTCGTTCATCTTAAATCGTAAGCGAGGCATATGCTATCCCTATACGGCAACTCACGTAAACAAAATACACTCAACCAAAAAGAAAGTCCCCTTTTAATACTTTTTTTGTTTAACTCAAAAATTACTGGGCACATCTCGCTCAAATTACGACTGATCAGTACAGATATTCCTTAGCAATCCAGACATACTTTTTGGTTGGCCAAAAAAGCGATAATGTTTACAAAATTATGCAATTTATGACAAATGGTACCGAAAAAAAATTGCACTGGATGTGAACAACAACATGCACGTATACAAAAGTGCAACTGTTTTGGGTATCATTTGTCATAAATTGCATAAATTCGTACACATTATCGCCGTTTTGGGCCAAATAAAGAGTATGGCTGGATTGCTATTTGGAATGTCTGCACTGATTAGTCTTTATTTGAGCGAGAGGTGCGCAGTAGTTTTTGAGTTAGACAAAAAAGTATCGGAGGGGGGGGGATTTTCTTTTTTGGTTGAGTGTAGCTCACCCAATAATAATAACCAGTGGCGGATCCGGGAGGGGAAGAACAGGGCCCCTGACCTCCAGTTATCAATACTAACGTCGCATCTTTTTAGTAAATTACCTTTTAGTACATTACACCAAAAGAAGAGTGCAGACGACTGTTTTTAAAAGAATGTTACCTATTCCTTTCCCTCTACAGATTTGTAAAATATAAAAAAATAAGACGCCCTTCTTCAGCCCCTCCTTACTTTTCACGTTTGTAGCAGCCATCTATTTCTGGATTCATCATTGACAACACGCATTACAAATGTTGAAGTAAAGCACAAATATTACTGAAAAGCGTGGGGAAGTGAAGCTGTTCGTTTTCCAGAACAAAATATTGCAAGTCACGGTGGTGCTGAGATGCAAGGTATTGGAAAGCCTTTTTTTTTTTTTTTGAGGGTCGATTAACAGTATTACACTCGGAGTTGTATTCCTACATTGTCTGTTATTGTGAAACATGCGAGTATACAATGCAGTATCAAGAAGCCACTAAAATATTCACCGTCAATGATGGTATAAGTCTAATAATGCGAATAATAAGGGCTGTTCAGTGGTTGATGATGGTTGATGATAAACACGGATATGGACAAAATATGTGCCCTAAGAATTCTGATTTCAGAATTATCTCTGGAAGATCCTCCGAAAAGAGGACAGAACACTAGGTGCCCTGTACGACATAGCAATTTGTGGCAGTACTGTACCAACTTCAGTACTACATGAAACTTGGCCTTCGGTTGGTTCCACCTTCTTTATTCATAAACATCTTTGACTCTGGTATATACATTTTCAGTTTCCTTTTGAAAAATGTATAAGGTTCTTTTTCGCATGTTAACAGTTTGTTGAGTCGAATTGTTGTGCATGAAACATGTTAAAAGTTATTAAAATAAGTAATTTTGAAAGATTTTTAATTACAAAAGATAGAGCAAATGGAATTACAGAACTGATAAACCTCCCGCATTAATTCAGCAGGTAGTACCAGCAGATTGTGTTATCCTTCACGATGTGCAGACTTTAACGACTTGCAATGAATTCGCGGTACCGTCATGAAGGCGAAGACTTACGTAATTCAAAAACAATTATTCCTTTACTTCGAAAGAGAATAGAAGAAGGTTGTCATTTTGTATTCAATCAATATGTACACACATGTACGTAGACAAGTTTTTCGCTTAGTGTGTAGTTTATAAACAGAACTGGTTGCTTTGTTCTCCATTAAGGCCGCCATGTCGGTAGTTTTCATATTCATAGTGATGCTTTCCAGACTTCTCGGTGAGTACTTTGAATTTCAGTCGGTCGTTATCGGATTTCAAGTTGTAATTCTACTTTGTTTGTTTCCTAACAAAATACGTTAATTATGCCCATTCAAGCTTTCGAAATGACTTGAGCCTTCTTGATACAGTGTTCCGATCCTACATGCCGAGTATGCTATCACCGTACTATATGACCGGACAGTGGCGAACAAGGGTTAAACTTTGGGAGGGGGCACCTAGTGGTGCATACACTTTTTTTAAAATTCACGATTTTAAATGGGGCGTAAATCCCTGGGGATGGGGGTATATATCCCCCACACTTTTTTGACCAGGTGTTGGTGGGCTATTGAATCCCCCCCCCCCTCCCTTTCGTGATGCAAAAAAGAAGAAGCGGATTTCGGGGTAGTTTTCGAGCATCCCAACAACAAAAATGTATTTAATAGCACTGAAAAGTGGAAAAACAAAGTACAAAAGCTTTTCAAATGCGCCGTGTTGATGTAAGCGCGACTATATGGTGTCCAGCCCCAGGCTCCCCCCCCCTTTTCGAATTTCTACGGCCGGACAATGTTTGGATTTTGGTCATCCCCCACTCGCCTGCACAGACAGCTGCGCCACTGAAATGCAGCACCGTGGGGTGTAATTGTCCCATGATCGATTTTACAGTGAGTGATTAATGTATATATTTATGAAAAAGTAAGTTGTTTCTATGTTTCTCTTTGTGATCTGTGGTCCGATTTGGAGGGCAACTAAGACAAAGTTACCCACGAAAATATCAAAACTAACTTCAAGATGTTTTCTTAATTAGTCACTGCTGGGAATGACACGGTTGTAGAAAGATCTGCTCAAGTGCGCAAGATTTCCCAAGAACAACGTCTTGTGGCCGATTTGTTTCAAAACTACAGCTCCATTATCAGGCCCGTGATGAATCAAAATGAAACCCTCATCGTCACGTGTGACGCAGCCCTACAGACGATCGCGGATTTTGTAAGTAACTAACTGACAATCCCTTCAAGGATTTAATTAGGTCTGAAGGAATTTAAAGAAATGAAAACTATCAAACCTCGAAAAAATGCTTAGATGTTGGAAGTCATAATCTTCTATTACACTTTTGGTACTGCCGATATTAAACGAAATTCTACTTAAAAGACAACAATTTAACATTTTGACCCTTCTAAAAGTATTTTCAGCAGTTTAACTTAATTAGCATTTTCTTTCATAAACAAAAGTTGCCTTAATTTTACTTAAAGAACAGATCGAAATTGATACTTTTTAAAGTATTTTTAACAAATTGAATGTCCAAAGGTCATTTATTTTGAGGATAACAGTGATTGATTTAATGGTTGCAGAGTTGTATGACTCGAGTCAATTTGACTCGAGTCACAATTTTTGGTGACTCGACTCGACTCAAGTCACTGCGAGCAAATGACTCGACTCAACTCAAGTCCCTCATCAGAATGACTCGACTCGACTCGAGGAACGCTCATAAGGCTCGAGTCCCCAAAATAAAAGCAAAACTTTGCGAAAAATATTTGCAATGACTTACGCCGGTGCTGGTTTTTGTTCACGTCACATTAGAATGTTCGCGAATAATGTACACATATGCATACGTGGTCGGATCAGTATCCCCATTAGTTGAATGGCGATCAGCTGGCACCCCCATTTTTATTTTCATTAATAGTCAAATGTGGTGTCGCCACATGTAGTAGCCTAAATGTAAAATTAAAAAACCAAAAAAAAAAGACTTCCTCTCTTGTGTTTATTTATTGCATAGTGTTCAAATAATATTTGAACACTATGCAATAAATAAACACAAGAGAGAAAGTCATTTTTTTTTTTTTTATTTTACATTCGGGCTAGTATTTAGCTCGAGTCAATTCGAGTCACAAATATTATTTGTGATTCGAATTGACTCGAGCTAAATACTGGACTCGACTCGACTCGACCACACACTGTGAATCAACTCGACTCACCTCAAGCTTCTTGACCTAATGACTCGACTGGAGTCACTTCTTTAAAATGACTAGACTCGACTCGAGTCACAAAAATCAGTGACTCGTTACAACTCTGAACGTTTGGGCATTAAAGTGTTACTTTTTTTCCTTTTTTTCAGAACCAGAAAAAGCAGTATATCCAGACAAATATGTGGCTTCGATTGGTATGTATATTGAGGGGCGTTGCTGGAGAAGGGCGAGGTGCGTCAGTGGGCGTAACACATCTTGTTTTAGAGAATATTATAAATTTTAGAATGTGTAACGTATTAGCGGCAATATTTGTCAAATTATATCGAGTCCCTAGCATATTAAATCGACGCCCAAAGGTGTAAGATGATAACCAGTCACCGCTTAAAAGGTACATGTATTTGGGAAAACAAGTTCTAAATGCCTTACTGTCCGAAGTTAAAGCTACGGACCACCACTTGCAGCTATCCAAAAAGTAACTGACGAAATTATTGTTGAAAAGCATACTTGGTTTAAAGATAGTAAGCCTAACGGCACAAACTCTCTAAAAAAACTGGGTTTTTTTTCTGGCAAGCTGTCATTTTGAAGAAAACCATGCAAGAAGGCCATTTCCAACGATGTGTCTGAAGATGCATTTTTGGAAATTTCCGTTAGTAGGCCTAGTTCGTTTTTAATTTGGCGAAGCATGCGCGAGCGTTGACACGACGCACACGCGCCCTAGGTTGATATAATTCGTCGGTTCAGTGCGCGACATCGCGTTGCTGCAATCGGCTGAATGAGAACGTGTCCCGGACGCTGAATTCGGGCGCAAATTCAAAACATGACTCGGGAACTTTTCATTTAAAATCGAGATCCTCGAATATTGTTTTTCTCAGCGGAACATACAGCATTCATTGAGCTAATAGTTCATAAGGTTAGTTGTTCAGCACCCTTCTTTAGTTTTCGAGCACTTTTGTTGTTTCAAACGAACACAATGCACAAACTGTAGCAAAACCTAACAATTCGGGGTATGATTGAGACAATGCCAGTTTTTACATATTCAGTGAGTTTTAGGTTTCAAGCTTTAAAGGGATGCGGTAGCTTTGTAGTCGTTATGTGTCGTCAATGTAAGTATATCACGTTGGTGCGGGAGATGTGGACAAACAGTGACGACTAATAAGAATAGCGATGACAACAGAGACGACAATCACAACAACGAAAATGGGATAGTAGTATCCACTGATAGTAGACTTACTGACAATAATGACATGCCGACAAGGCACTGCCCACATATAAAAGAGTGATAAAGTTGATGTAAACATCAATCGCAGTGTTGCAGTTCGGTGGCGCACTGCATTTTGAATCGCCCGACCTACAGTGACTTGGATATTCGTTGAATTTCTTTGTAGAAATGGAAAGACTTCAACCTCCAGTGGAATCCAGACGATTACGGGGGTGTATCGAGCATCACGGTTCCCTTGGACTTGATTTGGAGGCCGGACCTTCACCTCCATCGCAAGTAATCATTAATGCATAACATACGGCAGTCCTTAAGGAACGACGTCCTTGTGTTTCACAGAAGAAAGTAATGACATGAGAAGATAATAGATACTCGATTGGCCCGCAATTGTCATTTGCATAATGCCAATTTGTACATACCCCAGGGCAGTATTAGCTAAAAGTGAACGAAGAAAAGCCGTCAGAATAATGATAGACAGTCTTAGAAGTACATCTTATACAACCCCATGCGTGTGAGAGAAGGGTTTTCTATTGAGAATGGACAACATTCAGAATTGCAAATAGTATTCCCTCCGGGGGGAGGGGAGGAAGGGGGCACACGTTTTGACCTCTGTTTTAGAGCCAGCCGTACCAAGGCGTCAAATAAGTCTTATTCGCTAAACATCGACTTTGTGTTTGGAATACTTTTACCACGTTAGAAACACCCCAACAACCCAACAAACACCCCAACAACCACACAAACGAACAAACAACCCAACAACCAAACTGATCCTCCCCCGGCTACGTGCCTAGCTGTAGAGGTCACTAATTCTTGTCATTTGTTTGAAACCAGTCGCAACAAAGACACCAGCGGCATCTCTAGTATCTCTCCTCGGCTGACAAGCAGCGGAGTTGTCTACTGGAACACGCCAGCTAACATTATGAGCCCCTGCCGGTATGACGCCTCTTACTTCCCCTTCGACGAACAGCACTGTCAGCTTACTTTTAGCTCCTGGTCTTACAACTACGATGCCGTGCACCTCCGGGTGTCCAACTCTATCGCTGACATTTCCAATTACCAGGACAACGGGATATGGGACCTACTGGGGATGCTGCAGGTCGTAAATACGACCTACTACACGTGCTGTCCGAAACCTTTCAGTGTATACATCGTCACCATAGTCGTGAGGCATAGGCCCTTGTTCTACCTCTCTAATCTGCTCATACCTTGCTGCCTGATCGTGGCCATTACGATGTGCAGCTTCTTGCTGGCGGTGGATTCGGGAGAGAAGATCAGCCTTGTGGTGACCAACCTGCTGTCCCTGGTCGTCTTCATGAATAATCTCTCCAAGGCAATACCAAATTCATCGGACGGCATCCCGCTCATGAGTAAGGCAATAACCATCTTGTACCAGAGTTGCAGCCAAGTCCTTACATGTCATTGACGTCAGTCAAGTCGCAACTCATAGGCCTAAAGTCTTAGCCATTAGCCAAGATAGATTTTTTAAACGCACTGCGACAAAACACATGTTTTGTTGTTTTCCATGCCTTATTACTTTTACCTTTCTGGAATTGAATCGTGATTTGGACTTGTGCAGGGCGTTTGATGGACTTAACTGCAACTCTGCATTTTACATTAATTTTATTGGTCAAAAAAGACTCCAAGGCATAGTCTTCAGGTTCCCAGCCTTGAATTGAGAAAACACCTAACTCAAGTTTGAGAAGTTCGAGTAAAATACTTCTTGGAAACACTGGATTCAATGCTTCCCGGTCAAGAATCAGAATCTATACAAAGGTGAAAGAGAGGCGGTGGAAGCACCAGTACCTAGGTCAGACATCAAACTTTATACATCAATTTCTAACCCAGATCGCAAAAGACCAAAGACCTATTAAGTTCCTTTCTTAGGTGAAATTCTAGCTATAGGCGTTCAACAAACATACACTAAATCATATTTGAATTGACCGAAGCAGAATAATAGGAAGATAATTTTATATTTCGAATATCATTACTCCAACCGTCGTCCTTACACTTGATTTTCTTTGTACTCTTTTGTTCGTATATCCAGTTCAGTACATCGCAGTTACTATAGCCATCGTGACCATATCCATGCTGGCGACAGTCTGTGTTCTACGAATCCACTACAGACCAAGTTTGGCAAAACCGGTGCCTGCGTGGTTGAAAAAGGTTGCGTTCGTTTACCTGCCACCAATCCTCATCCTTCGGGTACCTGCTTATAAGATGACACCAGCGACTCCAGCGATAGGGGAGCCTCTTCGTGAAATGCCCTCTTCTTCCGACGCGGGATCCGATGGTGGAACCACCCTGGCCAACTTTGTTTCCATCAACCGCAGGCTCAGGTGTCTCACTGCACGGTGCAAGAGGCAGGACGCGGCCAGGGAGATTGTGGCGGAGTGGAAGCAAGTTGCAAGGGTCATCGACCGTATGCTCTTCGTGGTCTTTCTGGTGGTTACCGTCAGTTTGACCATGGGGATCCTGATGCAGTCCAAACCGCAGACGTCACCGGAGCAAATTGAGATCTGGCAGCAGCCCAGGGATTAAGAGCTCTGTCCGACCAGTGGCTTCCGAGGGCCTGAAAACACACACATTTAGCAGAGTTGAACTTGTAGTCAAGTCCACCACAAGTTGTTCACAAGTCGATTGCAAGCCACTCACAAATTAGGCCGTAACAACTAACAGGGGATAAGCACTAAAAGAGGATTGCCTTTATTACAGTTCAACCGAATAGCTTGTCACTTGACTTCCGGCTAGATGACATGTGATTGTCTTAACAACAACCCCACTCTACTTTAAAGTGGCCGATCATATAAAGCTTCATTCTAAAACGACATGTTATCACTAGAACATGTTAGTCCATGTATATATCAACGCATTGTGTAAAACATAGAAGTAGCCAGAATGATGAAAATGTACTCTGTTTATTATGCAGCAATTAATGTCCAGAAGACTTATAACCTTTCAACGTAGCAATTTTTATTTACACTGCGCAATAAATTGAGGGGTCGCTCGGTCTCGGTACATACCTACATTTAGAAAAAGATCACACCCGTCACTATGCAGTTACTGTAAACATGCAATCCTTGGCAGACTGTGCTGCACTATGGTGAGTCAAACTACAGGGTGAGTCAAAAATACAGTGACTTGGAGTAATTAGTCTTTTCCTTTAAAAAAGCATCTTGACTCATTAAGGCAGGAAAATGCTCTTGTTGCATTGTATTTCAACGGTAAACTATCATTGGTGGACAGCTGAATTGTGTGATGGTCGTATTAAAACGGACATAAATTGTGAATACAGAACGTATTACGTGAAATTTTCACAGCTACAAGTCAGTAATGTACTTTATCCCTGTGCTATTTTTATTAAATGGAGCAACCCACTTTTTTTTAAATATATTTTTTTTCTAATTATGTTACTTACCTTTTGACTCGCCCTCTCTTTTTAACTCATCGAAATGATAATTGAACAGATTCGCTGATTAATTATGCAAGACAACCGCCTCTTGACCTCCAGATTTTGACCAATCAGCGGGTGCTTTCCATATCGGGTCTTCAGTCACTCACCTGTTGTCGCGTCATAGACACGGATAAAAAAAACACCTAGACACAGCAACAAAAGGCTGTGCACGCGCTCTGTATTATGTTACGCAATACATGCCCGGCCGTTGTTGTATTACAAAACACTGCATTAATTCGAATTGACCAATCAAACATTTAGCCCTGATTTGGGAGTGAAATGACGTCACGATTTAGCAAAGTCGACTCCGATTGGCTTATGTGCGGGATCGCATAATTTTGCATGCTTAGAAATAATATCAGACGTTATACGGAAATTGTGCTCCGTGGATAACAGGTGATACTCAGACTAAATAACGAAGGAAGAATAACTTCCTTGATGGCCATGGATACGAGCATAAATACACAGGGTTGTTTGTCTTTATTAATACTTCATGGATACTTTAATAATTAATTTACAATATTCTTGAATTTGAATTAGAATTCACCTGTACTTTGCACACTATTATTGGAAGTGCACTGTTTAACATGGTTACATATTGCTTGCTTATTTATTTTAATATGTATTTATTATATCATTGTAAATGGATGCTTATAACCCGGTTGTATATTATTCATTTAGGAAACAAAGTTTACTGGGAGAAAGTTTTAATTTTGGTTTACTGTAAGGTAGGTTTACTGTAAGTTCAAAAGAGTAAAAGGGTCGAAAAGGATAGGGCCGGTTCCATACACATTTACAAAATATGATAGTAAGTAAAACCCCAAAATGTATCAGGTTTTGGAATAACGTTATACAATACATTATCACGGAATAGTCCCAGTCTTATGATTTCAGTCATAATTCAGTGTCATCTTTAGAATGATGATCAGTGACGTCATTACGATGGCCAGGGCGAACAACAGCATCAGCAACCTGTCCAGAATGACGCACATGTCAATCCATTGTTGCTGGATCAGGGAGGCCTTCTCCTCGCGCTTGCATCGACCCACCAGCTTGTCGATGTACCGGCCGATCTGCTGAACTGTCGAGCCGATGCTGACGTCGGTGGCGTCGGTGCCATACTCGGCAGCGACGTCGGCTATGAAGCCCCCTGGACCGCCAGCATCTTTAGACTCGTAGCTCCCAGTCTCCAGCTGCAGTTGCTGGAGGAGGCTTACCCCGAGCGCCTGGCTGTTCAGCAGGGAGTTCTGCTGGTCGAACTCGAAGAGGTCGTCGCAGCGTCGCTGAGCGGCAGCTTTCTCCCCCTCGTCACCCTCGCCGTCGTGGTAGGCGTGGCGGCGTCCCTTGATGCGGAGCAAGTAGGCCAGGCGATCCAGGATGAGTTTGCGGGCCCAGCGCGGTGGGCGGTGTGTCGGAACGTGGTGGTGTAGACGGAGAATGATAACAGAGCCTGCCGTTTCTAGAGACATGACAACGATGATAGTTGCCAGCAGTTGACCTATTGATGAAGATAAAAGAGAAAGTACTGTAAAAACATCCTTTCAAGGACCCCAGTGAATTTCAAATATTGCAAATAACAAATCAAAGAAAGCTCAATTAACAACTGTATATTAGGATATATGACATGATACTGACTAATAATATTAATAATAATAATAATTTATTTATTTTGCGCAGATTCCACATTAGTGTTCAAGTGCGCAGTACATACATGTACACAATGTCGTAAAAATCTAACTACCCAAATTCACAAGCAAGCAAAGCAGAACAGAGTTATTTAAAAGACTAAAGGTAATGACCATGTGGATCGCAATTAAAATTATATTATGTACTGATCCGCTTTATTCAAAAGCCTCTTTTGCAACCATTATCACTGTTTTTCAAAATATTGTGTGTTAACGCGGTGGGACTTCTATTTAATGGCAAGCCAAAAGGGATGTATTAATAAAAGTGAAGAAGGCACAAACCAAGGAGCGACACAGTGTCCGAGGTCGGCGGCAGCAGCTGGGCACCGAGCAGCAGGAAGAACACAAGCGACAGCAGGACGGTGATGTTCAGCCCCACCTTCTCACCAGACTCGGCCGGCAGGTAGAAGCTCAAGAAGGAGATCAAAGACATGAAGATGGACGGGAAGAGCAGGCTGAAGACGTAGAAGAGGGCCTTCCTGCGAAGCTCGAGGGTGTAGCTGATGTCGGAGAAGGGGTCTGGGCAGCAGCCGTAGTGGACCAGATTCTCGACCACGGGCATGTTCAGCAGCTCCCACTGGCCATTGGTGGTCATTTGCGACCAGTCACCTGTGTCTGCAATGAATCAGGGGACAAAAGGCAAACCTTAAATAATGGTCAGTAATTTCTTTTGCCCGAAGACAAACCGAATCAAGTAAACATTGCACTATTTATGGTACAAAACAAATCCAAATTTATGCTTGCCGTCAATTTTCAGACTAGAGCAACTTTGCTGCATGTCCAACTTTAATGAAAAACAAACTGTAATTTCGCTAAGCACCATGGTTTGAGCACTTGGGAATTCTGCGCAAATGACAGACTCGTTCCCCCTTGAGAAAATTGATTCGTGCACTCCATCTGAGTCCAATGACATGCCGAAGCTACTTAACAGAAAATGTTGCTAAATAGACATTTTCTATCCTACAATAACCGTAAACAAGCTGAAAACCAATGGCAATGGCTTATAGAAAGTATATATTCTCTGCATGGCAGCTCCATAAAGATTAGCTCAAATTTGCTAAAATGGATTCGTGGCATAACATGGGTAAACTTGCAACGGATCCATACAAAGAATGCGTGGTACTGTGACTATTGGTAAGCACTTCATATCATTGACAACTTAAGAGAGTTTACTCGTACTATTAAGGAAAATAGTCTACTGGACGTAGCCTAAACATGATCGTTTTAGACATGACGAATAGTTCACGGGCAAAATCTCACCATAGACGCGTCTCATGAGCACCTCGTTGCCCTTGTAAGCCCAGGGCCCGAACTTCATGGGGCAGGTCTGCTTGTCGAAGGGGAAGTAAGTGATGTCGAGCGAGCAGGAGCTCTTGAAGATGGCAGGTGCGGCCCAAAAGATCTGCCCGTCGTTGGAGACCACCGCGTTGGTCATCATGACTCCCGTGCCTGGCTCCTTGTCTACATCAGCGCTGTAAAGACGAAATCCCATCGAACAATTCAGTGCCAGTCTACAAACCTAACTTTCATGTAAATATGACATCATTTGTTTTAAGGCGAACCCCGTGTTAATGACGATTTAGGGAGTTTTTATTCAAACTGAAAAGAAATCTTTGAAATTGTTCACCACACAAAGTGACATCCAACGATTAATTGTCAAAATGGTGAGTCGTCCAAAGAAGGTTGAAACGAACCTATGAGAACAGATACTAAAATAAAGTCATAACATTTTTTTACGAGCACATTGCTTGTGCTCACTGCAAACGTGGTAGAATCTGGCTGTATCAATCCCGATATACCGTTCATACACAATCCTTTATTACAACATATGTATAACAAAAAAAGCTAAATTCAATTTACCCTATATACTCACCTGTCGTAGAGCACTGTGTCTGGGATCCATATCTGTCCCGTCGGTATGTTAATTGACGTGATATTATCATAGTCCAGGGGGTCCCACACCAGAAAATCATCCTTCCACCTCTGCACGATTCAAATCATAGCCGTTCCAGAAATAAAAGATCCGTCATTAAGGCTGGTAGCTATACACTTTATAGTAAGAAATGTGTCACTCATTTTGTTTTTACAAAGTTGTCCCCATGCATGCTTATTATAGTATAAGTGAAAAAACAAAAACAAATTGGAGTATGAGTAAACCTGCATACATAAACTTTTAAGGCAGTCACCAATAGTAAGGTTAATAATAATTCAAACCTCTGGTTTTGATTTTTGGATGCTAAACGGCAGGATTGTATTCATGTTAATACAAGTTAATCATAATTCATGAAGTCTCAAGTCAAGATACGAATTGTTCAAATGAACTTAGTAAAATGTAGTTTGCCATCGTTCGGATCCTGTCGCCTGTGACCTTAGATATCATTTTGACTTATGACTGTCTGGGATACAACTCCATCAAATGAGTTAACCCTTACATGCAGTAGGTCTAACCAATGTAACAGAATCGTTTCTTCAGGATTTCTCTATTTGATTAGGTCTACCACTTCTCTGATTTGTATCATCCAAGGAATGCAAATCTATCCTTATGGTAATTTATTATATGGTAAGTCATTCCGCAAATAAAATGTAATGTCTTCAGTACAGTTAAGAGAATAGCAAAAGATGGGTTACCATTTTCCTTAAATTAAGGTGCAATTACAAATATTTCCTGAAAGAACCACATGCATATACAACACAATACCCAAATAACACCATTCAAGATTAGGTTCACACGTGATTGTTTTTTGAATTGCACCGTATGTACTGGTAAGTTTCTCTCTTACTTAAGTAGAGGAAGCCATAACATAACACCTTAGAGATTAGGTCTACCGGTACTGACCGGCATAACTAATTGTGACCTGACAATAACATAGCATAATGAGGAATAACCCCCACCTGTGACAAGATAATCATAGGTTTTCAATGGCACCAAATGTATTTCTGTAGCTTAATTTATTCCAAAGATATGACGCACTAACTTCAATAGTGTCCTGCCAAGTTTCTCTAACCTCATTTGAGAAAAATGTTCTTCAGTTTTTCTACTTTTGTGGGTATTTTTTCCCAACAAAAATGCATGGTGTGAATCTTGGATACCTTGGCTACTGAAACATACAAAACAATCAAAATCGATTTTCACATGATTTTTCTAGTACAGTATATCCGACTTCAGGCGTCGAGTACTCCAAACAAGGTTTTGGGGGACATTCCTCATTTTGCCTCAGTAGGTCACAATTCTGTGGATCGCGGATATATTAATGACAAAAGCTGCAATAATACTTTCCATTATAGAAACACTAAAATTCATTAGCTGATACCTTTATTACAGTTCTATTTATTATATAATATAGAGACTTAGGAATTGACGCTAAGTATTTTCGCTTTCAAACACCCAAACATTTGTAATATGGGCTCACAGCCAGCTCTGAGCATCGTGAATTTGCTTATTTGAAATTCCCTAATTGTTGTAATTAATAGAATTATCTTAGGAAACAATTCGGGAAAGTATCATCACTCGGTTATAGCCCAAAAAATAATAATGAAGAAATAGATAAACTATTAGCAGACTTTAAAATATTCATACCTGCTCCAACCAAAATGCAGTAGTCAGAATTTGGTTTCTCTCGTCCTGTCCACAGAGTGCATTAACCAATACACAATCCAGAAAAGGGTGGGAGGAAATGGGAGCAAGGTGGAGAAAACAAACAACAATCCATGCTATTATTCATGCCGTTATCAGGAACAAAAACCACACCTCTATACGTTATGTTGTATAGGCTTATGTGAAAAACAAACAAAATCAAGATGACCGTTAAAAAGAGTGCGTTTGGGTAAACTTTCCAAAGACACCATACCAAGAGACACCGAGATCATATAAAAGGTCAATGTTTCTGCATTTCAATCTTTTTGGATAAGCTTGAATAACTTGTCTTCCCCCCCCCCAAAATGCATTTTGGTAATTGTACTTAATCCTCGGTGGATCTACGTGTCAGTAATTAATATCATATAATTTCAACACCCAAACGTTACTCTTAAATACACATCTAACTGTAATGCAACCTCCTACGAAGCAAGTCCTCATCATTACCCCTTTTGATATGTGGTGGACACGATAGATATACTTTCTGTGTACCAAAGTTTACCCACTCACAATGGCGTCCTCCTATCTCAAAAAAGATTATTAACACACAAGTAAGTTGTAACTCAAAAGATTCGTCCAACAATCTCTACTGTCGTGCTGTTGTGCTGTCGTGCTGTGCGGAGAGACCGGACAGTGTGCTGTGACAAGAAAGACATGCACATGCAAATTCATGCAAATCATATGCAAATTATATGCAAATGTGCAGCCCAGGAATACCTGCTCCAGTCTGACCACGGTCGTAATTACTTGATTCACTTCATCCTTGGGCGAGACAGAAGATAGAATCAGACGGAGAATATAGACAGAGAAAGAGTGTAAATCAAATGGGGATTTGGTTGGCCATAAAGAATCGTGAGATAGTAGGGTGAAGGCAGAAAGTGTAATTGGTTTGGTTTTGAAGAACTGGCGGTAAAGAAATGAAATTATTATCAAGAACTTGTAGAGGGAAACTATTCAAATCAGAAGCAAAGACGTTAATTATTACATCAGAAGGGTACAGGAAACTATCCAAGCAACTTAATAAGCACACATTTTTTAGCCTTTAAGAAGAAAACTGCGATGGCGGCACATGTAATACTTTATTTTTTAATCGAAAATCGCGAAGAGCAAAATAATTCGGAAGACCTTTTGGGGGTTTGTTATTTTTATGTAACTGAATACCCTGCAAAGAAACAGTTAACCAGGAAAACTACCATTAGCAAAAAAAAACAGCTCAAGATGATAAACGCTTCTTGCTTCGGTATAACGCTACTAACTTTAAATGTAGGACAATAAAATGGTCCTAATGAAGTGTTATTAGTACGTTGCAAAAAAAAACCCTGTTGCCCTGGCTTGTCGACAAGGGTAACATTTCGCAAACTTTCCTTCTTTACTTTGGCAAAAATCTCCTAAAATAGACTAAAACAAGCTTAAAACAAGATGAAAGAAACTCTAGCCCCACACTTGATACACACGACTGCATTTCCAACTATGTGAAATTTCGCTTAATGTTAGTAGTTTTTTTGTGTTACAGTTGGCTTCATAAAATTGACTCGGAGTCTTAAATTTAAATGTCATATCAATGACACTAGACTTACAATTTTGAGAATCCGCGAGAGTTTCATGTGGTAAAATACCTCCAGGATCTTAGTTTCATTGGAGACGGGGCGCACGTAACGGCTGTACTCCCGCAGGAGGTCGTGTACCAGCTTCTCCTGGTACTTTACGTTGGTACCACACACTGTAAAAAATAATAGAGGTAGAGGCTTAACTGGTGATCAGGCAAAACCCAATAACCGTTTTGAAATTGTTGGAATTAATCTTGTTTCCTTTTTTCCCCGGACAATAATTGTACCCGGGTTTTCTTCTAAACGGTTTATGGTATAAACTTGAAACTTTGAACCAACGTACATGAGGCCTAACCCTTATCCAAGGGTGTGAATATTACTCTGACGTCATGATGGAGTCATCGGGTATCAAGTTACAATCACGTTTGGTTGAAAAAGGACCAACGTCTTTTATTTATATCTCTGGAAAAAATAATCAATGATATTTATACATTATAATCGGATATGTCATTAATGGATAAACATTGTTTTGGTCGTGTACGAAAAGTCGCTTGATCTTTAGTTCCGGGGTTACCGGAAGGTCAAAGTTAGTCGAATTCAAAATATAGACATGAACCTCAAATCAAAACAAAACAACCTTTCTCTCAAACAGTTTACAGGATGATGATAAAACCTGGTATGAACTTGAAATCTGGTCCGAAAGATGTGGGTTTTGTGACGTCGTCAGGTTTCAAATTACAAGTGATTTAACGTCAACATTTGAAACAAAATACTTTGAACACTACTTCAAATGAATGGAGCACCGTTCTCATTTGTTGTGATCAGTAGGACATTGCCTAGGGCAATGTTTTGGATCCCTTAGCTCCGAGCCATTTGACCTTTACTTCCGGTGTTACCAGAAGTGCAATGGGAATCGAATGTAGCTTTAAAACGGAAGCATTTTACTATATAATGAAATAAATTATGAAAATGTTTAGTGAAGAATGTCAAACACAAACAAGACCTCAGAATGATGACGTCATCACCCGAAAAGGAGCTCTCTCGCGGCACTTCAAATACAGTTGAACTCGTTTAAATTTAAAAAAAACTGTTTGTCAAATAATAATAAATAAATTGCCCATTGATATTATTTGGGACAACCGTTAACGACTTTGCGAGGTTTCAGGATCGTGACGTTATCAAAACAGGGAGAATCTGAAACTGACCAATTTTCTTTTAAAATCAAATTCATACTTTAATTCGTATCCAGTGGGGACGTTCGTGGCACAAATAATATCAGGTACAAGTTGACCTTGGGCTTTCTAATACTCTGACGTCATCAAACCTGAGGTTAGGTGTTATTTAATTTTAATTAGGTTAGGTGTTATTTAATTCGTATCCAGTGGCGACGTTCGTGGCACAAATAATATCAGGTACAATGTTGACCTTGGGCTTTCTAATGCTGTGACGTCATCAAACCCGAGGTTAGGTGTTATTAGCACACACACTTATACATATGCATTCCCTGTAAATTTTACATTTTCAGATGTTCTTTTCACCTCATGATATGAATCCTCACGTTTGTACATTTTAACTGATGACGTCATCTAACCAAGTAACGTGTACGTGAAAATAAAATGAATACTGACATTTATTAAACCCAAAAGGACGGGTTTTTTTTCAAATTGAAACAAATAGTTCCACAAAAAAAGGCTGAGTTTCTTGATTCTTGATTCTGTTCTTTCAAAAAAATATTCACAAGTTAATGAGGCAATGTTCAATGAAATAGTTGTCTGCCCGACCACCAAGCGTTTTGAACTCAACAAACGCGAATCTCTAGTTTTCCTTTTAGTTTCAAGGGAGTTTTCAAAAACGATTGTTTAATTCTTAACACGTACTCACGGTTGTCAAAAGTTAACCTTTATTTAAGTTTTTTTGCATTGCTTTTTGTTATGGTGCTTCTTTTGTTCCTTAATCCGTTCCAGAACCCTTCGCTGGATGGTAGTATATATTTCTGTTTGGTGTTGCAGGTTGGCGCCATTTTTAAAATATGATTAAGCCCTACCGGAAAACATAACCTACACAAATTAATACTTTGTGTAAAAAATCTAATATTTTCTTATATACAAGGCAAAAAATACAATCCGAGAAATACAAAGCATAAAAGATATTGGCATATCATGACCATCGAGATTTTAATGCATAGGTCGCCGGTCCGTCACTCGAGCCTAGTTAATGAACATTTGTGAAGACCAATAAGTCATAATTTCGACCGTCATGCCATACCAGTCCTTTCTTATTATCCTCTATAGTGATAAATCATTTGAGGGACTTTGATATTGCCAGCTTCGACGTTCTATCGTATGGGTATATCATTGCTATTTAAAATTCCTACTACGGAAAAAAATCATTATCAATGCTTGAGCGCCAAATGATTTGTTTTACATGGCCAATAACTCATATTGAAAATGCGGCCTGCTGTCAGCTGATAGTATAAGGAGCTATAAGCATTGCAAGAGTACGAAACGACCTTTGACAAATATCGGAAGTCTGGCAAATACAGCAAAACCACAACTTTAATATCGAGCAGTAAAGTGTCAAAAGAATGTGCTTACCTTTGTCCGGAAACGCTATGGAAGCCGCAAGGACTACAGCCGTCACAAGAAGACTCAATCCGCGGATGGATGTGTGCGCCATCTTTTCCGTTGGCCAAGTTTACTGTTGAAAGCACACGAGCGAATTTAAAATGTGCCCAGGCTACGTGCATGCGCCGTATCTATGTTGAGCAGGCTTGGCACGTTCGTGCGATGTGTGAAAGCCTTCAGCGTTGATGGAAGAAGCGCCAAGCGTTACTGGGCTACTCTTTCTCGCTGACAGATTGTGGACACTTAGAGACGATCAATATTTCAGAATTCTGATTGGGGATACAAGGTTCGATAGCCTGATTTTTTCGAATTAACACTTTGGCGTCGACGTTGAGCATATTTGTAGTGCAGTTTGTCGTCGGAAAAAAAGTAATTGAATCGATTTCAGTTAAGAGCTGCTTGGACTGATGCAGTTTAGGATCTTGGCCACAAATATCGAAACCATGTGAATTTTGAAGGCCCTACATGAGAGAGAATGAACATGTACATATATTAAAGGGAGTGAATGTAATGAAGACATTTTACTGTTACCACATTTTAAAAGAAAATTTCCACTTTTTAATATGACATGCCTATAATGGTATACCTTTTGTAATTTCTCACATTCCCAGTAAGACTGCATTTCTCACCAGTTAGGCCGGATGGTTTCAGATGCATGGCAGCAGCCAATTTAAACCATCGATTCAGTTAATTAACAAAACATCTGTCAAAATATTGTTCAAGTTGCTCTTCGATCAAAGTAAATACAACTGTCCTCTTCGTTTGATTGCTAACGGTGTTCATGTATTCCACTCAGCATGGATTGATGCTTTTACTTGCAAGGAATCATCACTATATACATACATGAATTATAATGCTACTTCTATAAAATACATGTACTATGTATAATTCCAGATTATCATGTATAGGCCTAGTTTATCATGTATAGTGAACCACAGGGTACAGTTGCCCTATTCAGAAGTGTTGAAGCAAAATGGTAACGATTTGTACCATGCACATAGTTGTGAATATTGCGTATAAATAATGTGTGGCCTAACAAATTCTTCCGTTTGCATTAGTTGTACTGTGTATTATGTTATTGATACGGAGATGATCGTCATTGAGATGATGAAGCTTGGAGAAGTTTATTTCTCAAAGTCACCAAGGTATATTGTTTATTTACACGGCACCATATCTAGTATTTTATAAACACAAGACTCCTAATTGCTGTAATTCTTTCAAAAAGATAGATGCAAATCATCAAAACCCCGAACGAGAGCGCAGATAGTGGTAGCGTACTGCTCGGAAGCCATCGGGACGAGGTTGATGCAGAAAAAAATAATGATGGCGCTATACCGTGCAGGCACACCGTTCAGCTGCGCATCATCAGGCCAAAATAATACGAGAACCTTTTTTTTTGCCAGTAAGGCTGTTAATTGCCGCTTAATTAAATTTCTGCAACGGACTGAGTGTGTGGAACGATTTTCGAAAAGAGAGCACTTAATCACAGGTTAAAATGGTGATATTATTAGGCCTACAGTAACTCCTTCATCGTTTAATAGGAATCACTGCATAGGCCTAATTCCGAAGTACTTTGGGATGACAAAGTTGGGCTGTTTTTCACAAATGAAATAATGTCTTCATGACCAAGATGATATCAAGATCCCTAGTTGAACTTTACGCTTCTGTTTTTTTTTTGGGGGGGGGAAACATTTTTTTAGGTCCCCAAACAATTCCGGCGTGGGGTTCGGGGCCCGCTGAAGGGCCGCAATTTTTTTGGATTGTAGATGCTCTGTGATGTGGTGCGACCTGAGGCAATTTCTGACCACTTTAACCACATTGTTTTGAGGAAAAGATGGTGGTGTACGCAGTGCTTGCCTTTATTGCGACGGGTCTTAAAAGGGCCCCGTTGCCCCCCCCCCCCTGCCCTTGCTAAGTACGTAGTACAGTAAAATAGGCTATAAAATGTCAAATTGAGCGCCGAAAGCTTTCATAAAATAAGTTAGGGCCCTGTCACACTTCTGCGTATCCTAATTCCTTATGAGTTGCGCATTGCCATTTTTTTCATACGCAGTCGTACGCACAATACGCACCTCATATGCATCTCTATCGTTTTGTGTAAGTTTTATGTACGCAGGCATACGCATGGTACGGCCCAGTACGCTGAATAGTTTTGGGCATGCACCAAATTACGCTGCGTACGCTGTTACGCAGGTCATAAGTTATAAATACGCAGCGCATCGGTCCCGCATCGGTCGAGTGCGTTACGAGTACGCTATGTGTTCGTGACGCACCCCGTCAGCATATGAGCCGCCTGTATTGGATGTATACATAGCGTACTTGCAGCGCAGATGCAACGCACGCTGAATGGCGAGCGGCGGAAATGTGGCAGGAATACGCTCAGAAGTGCGTCAAACATGCAGTCGGCATAAGTCGGGTGCGTCCGGAATACGCTCGGCATGCGCACTGCATACTGACCTATTCGCAGCCCTTAAAATAATGTTGTGCACTGCATACGCAACTCATACGCATCTCACACGCAATGGATGCGCTGAATTCGTTACTTGTACGCTAGATGTGCGTCGCACATAAGTCAAAGTGATCAAAACATTTCGACGTTAATTGAGCGTACGGCTGCGTATGGAAAATTTTTGATAAGGAACTCATAAGGAATTAGGATACGCAAAGGTGTGACAGGGGCTTTAACTTGTATGTGACGTTTAGTGCGTTGAATATCAAAGCGACGGCATACCTTAAACCTCTATACAAATGTAGAAAGGGGTTCGTGTAGGCCTACATGTATAATGTCGCCTTGAAATTGGCGTACGTTGGAGAAGCCAGGTAGAGAAGTTCAGGGAATGCAAACGTGTACTTTCGGAACAACAGGCTGTACAATGTAAAACTGATCATAACTCGACTGTCATGTAGCTTCCGTGCATTTTATGCAGCTCCCGATTCAAAACAGTCTGAGTTCAGCCTCATGCTATAGGTTTTCCCGTCCAATTTCGCTACTTGTTCATGGCAATCAGACAGAATGTTCATTCAAATTCACATCAAAAGGGACGTTTTGACACTCGTTCAATTTAGCGAAAGTAAAAAAAAGTTCATGGTATATTCATTTGGAAGAGTAAGTAGGAAGTTGCGTACAACTTGTCCTATAAATTCTTGAGGTTTGGTGCAAAACACATGCCAAATGAAATTGGCGAGTTGCATGCATCAGCAATTATACTGTGTAATAGTGTTAAAACACAGAGAATGACACGAATGTTGAAAAGGTTTTTTTTTCATCCAAGGAAGGACATAGTTATGAAAAACGGAAGAAAAAAAGAAAGAAAAGGAGAGTGTGAAAGTGATGGAAGGAAATAAATGTTGGATACTTGCCGATAAAACAATGAGTAAAAATACAAAGTGACCCATTTATTAATTGGTGTGATCACTTAGTGGAAATGTCACATAAATAGAAAGGTAGTGAAAATCGTATAAATTCAATGACATTGATTTTCCTATCGCCAATACGATTGGCGTTTGGCGAAATGTAAATGTCAAATTCAGTAGACTTCTAATTCCGTTGCACTTAGGAAATGAGTATTATCTCTATCAAACCTACTCGGTGCGAAATCGAAAATCGACAAACGAAATAAATTTCATTTTGCACGAAAAACATTGACCGCGCGAATTTGAACACATTGAAACAAAGTCAAACTGCGAGTATATGGAAACCGCAGTCGTACCCAACTCACTAAAACCTAACGAAATGGAAGAAACATTCTTTCTGATTGAATGATGAAGTTGCGAAATTGAGCGACGAAACCTATATTTGCCTATGCAAAAACAATGTGGTACTTAACTACACCAGTTACTTCCTGGACTATCCAGGGACATCCTATCGACAGCCAGGGGCATCGAACGTCTTGTAATTATTTTGAAATGTCATAAGGCGTTTCATAAAAGCAAACAGCAATACTTTTACTGCAGTTTTCTTTCACAATGCTTGAATATATATTTTTTTATAGAAATAGAAATACTTCGGCGAAGCTTAAACAAATCACCTTCCTGGTTACTGTTATAGTCATTTAAAATAATCCACATCTTTGCATCAGACTAAACGCAAATGGCAAATGTGGCTCAGTATCGGATCATACTTCTGGATGTTAAGAAAGGGAACAAATAAGGATCATATAATTCACCCATCGACCGAAACAATGTACACTTACATGTACATTTACTTGTACATGTATTTATTATTATTTTTTTACATTACTTTACAAATAAAAAACAAAACAAATGCATGTAAAGTAATACATTTCAGTTACTGAAATAGTTTATACATGATTACAATTTCAGTTGTTACGAAATATCGAAGTTATAAGAAAAAAAGATGAGAGGGTTTGGAGTTGCTTTGTTTTTATTACAATTAACAGGACATGAGAACAGTCCCAGTGAGAAAAAACCCACAAATTTTCACTACAATCAGGCAAAATTCATTACCAAGTTAAAAAAAGAATATATTCAAAAGATCTCAATCAAATTTCAGTATACAGTGGCGGCATGTGAACAGATGTGCCAGCCTTTGACAGAGGGCGCTATTACCATCTCACAGTCGGTACCCTTTTGTTAAAAAAAAGTCTGAGCCCCCGGCCAGCATATCAAAATATAAACGGGCATCAATTAAACTAGTTAACCTCATTCAGAGCATCGACGCGACCAGAACCCCTTTGGTAACTTTACCAAATGAAATCATGGCACTAGCCCTATTCGCACATTATTCCTTAATATAAGAAACTGCCGTCTCCAAATGGGTTTGACAAACTTGACAAATCAGTGCTCGTTACCAGCAGACACTTAGGCGTAGTCGGGGCAGGTGGGTGACAAGAATTTGGGATGGCTAGAACAACATGCCCATATTGATATTAAGGACACCATTGTCATTTTCAATAAATAAATAAGTTCCACTTGTGGAGGACGTTTGCCTATTATACATGTATACAAGACTAGCAGGCAACTGGGGCTAGTCAAAAGCCATAAACCCGTAAATGCCATGTAGCCAGGGGTCACGCCCAAAGTCAAGATGCTAGCAACATTAGCAATGCTGCAGACCTGGGAAATAGCAAACAAGAACCACCCTGAAAGGATGGATTCTTGTAATAAAAATCGCCATATGAACCACAAAGGGAAACTGACTCGTAAATATGTATACATGTATAGTACTTTAAAAAATGAACTAAGAAATTACAATTAACTCAGCCAATTATACAAACTATTGAATTGTAACCGGTGCTGAGGCACCTCATTGGTTTTGGAAAGTAACACTAAGCTGCATCATCCCTCATGAACCTCATGACATGATTCAAATGCTTCCCCAACTAAACAGAATGGCCCCTCCAAGCCTTTTTAAGCTGGTGCAAATGTATGTACACGTATAGTAATTTACTGCAGCATGATGCCGTTGGCCATGTTTATCACCACTTTTAGTGTGAAAGATCACATGGTCCTGTTTATATGTCACTTTGTTTTCATTCCGTGTATACTTTCTTCTTGCATTATGGTGGGTTTTGGTTTTGTAAAAACTTGCTTTGTTATCCCTTTGGGATATTTCGCTTGTTTTACTGGGATGCTCTCTTAAGCAGGTTCTTAAAAGATAAATGCATTATATGAACATAAGGCTTTCATATACTATAGACAAATCCGGCGGCAGGCTCGAGCGAGCCGTGCTCAGGAAGTACACCCGCACTCCGGGCTCCTTCGACCGATAGGAATACCAAAATACAGGTGCGACTTGTCTTTAAGAACGCTTGCAGCATGTACGTGAGTGACACCACTGCAGTAAAAGCTTCTAATTCTGGTAGCCGGATTCCACTCTAGCATTCTAGTTTTTTTCTAAAGGTTGACTTGTAAAGGCATTGATCACTGGGTCAGCGTACTGTTTGTCTTTCTGATCATTTTTGGAATGATCGTTTCGAAAGTTTTACATGTACAGAACAGGCATGGAACTGGGAAGTCGCCAAAAAAGAGGAATTTCAAATCTTTCCACGACTTTGTACATTGTTTTTCTATTTTTAATGGCACGGGAAGTAAAAAAAGAGGAACTCAGCTGATCCGAGAAAAAGTTGCCTGACATGTAAAAGACATGAGGTCCTTGTACGTCCTTGAAACTAATCCTACTCAACTCAACAAGATAAATCCAAAACCAGTTCGGATGTATTCTGTTAATCTGAGCAGTGAACAAAACATATTTGGTTTTTTTAATGTTGGATCCTGTGTGACTGAGCAGGCTTAACACTTCAGCAGCTGCTGGATTAAGTTGCATTCAGTAGTGTCCTTACGAACTACTAGCGTAAGGTGTAATGCAGACCCTATCGGACGTTGTTGGCAATGTTAGTGGCAGTCCAAGGAACACAATCCTTGCTCTGCAACAGAGACTTGCACGATGTCTATTGTACAGCAAGAACAGTTTGCCGTACTCATCAGAACATTCTTCATAACTGCATTGCACAAAGTCTTCCTACCGATTCGATATCCGTCAGAGTAGACTGAGGGCTCCCGTGATTTGATCCACCTGTTTTGCTTCTCCAAAGATGGACAGAACAGTGAAGGATTCAGCAGGTACCTACAAGGAAAACATTGCAAAAAGGGCGGTTGAGTTCAACACTGCCCGGGGACATGATAGCCAATCAAACTTTTGCAACTGAATTTGAAGTTTACCTTTTGAGGATTCCCTGTTCAAGATGTAACAAGTGCGAGTGCACAATAAGCTCTGGCGAAAAAATCTTTTGGTCAATTTTTGGGACAGACAGACAGACCATCCGAACAACCAACCGAACGAGCAACCGACCACCAAGCAACATGTAGAAGCTCCTGCCAGAGCCTAAAAATTGCACCCCCCCCCCACCTTTTGGTGACATTTCCTCCTTCTGGATACCGTCCAACCACTATACAAAATGGCGTCCACCTTGTTCGAGGAAGATATTGTACAGTGCAAGTGCGAGTGCACAATTAGCTCTGGCCGTGTTGCAAGAAGTCTTGCGTGAAATTGTTCAAAACGATCCCTGCCAGAGCTGAAAAATGCGATTTCGAAAAAATGCGACGCTGATGGCACATACAGAACACCATACTTTTGGTCAATCTTCCGGGGACAGACAGACAGATTCGCTCGTACCCAGCGTCCTGTTTGCAGGGCGGTGGGTACGAGCAAAACAGACAGACAGCCAGACAGACAGACTGACCACCAAGTGACACGTAGAGGCTCCTGCCAGAGCTTAAAAACCTGTGTTTTGATTGTCTTAGCCCTTTCTATATGTTCAAAGCACTTCACAATGCTGAGAGGTTTTTTTATTTCATGCTCACTTTCATGAGTAAAAAAGTCTGACTTCAATTCCTTGGAAATGCAGATAACCTTAGGGATATGTCAATGGACATGATGAGTGATCCAAAACAGAGGTGCACTTGAGTCTTCACTAGTCATTTTCGAGTCAATCGCAGGTCATCCAGCATTGAGTAAAGTGACAAGAAAACTGAGACAAAGCATTTCCTTGTCCTTATCCACCCTGTTACTTATGACCTTACTTTGGGATTGGAAGCTACATATGTTATTGAGAAAAAAAAGACCTGATAAGCGAAGTGAAGACGGGAGTCTAACACCATGTATATTCTGACAATGATCTTATTTTTGTTGTAATGTTCTGTCAAATGTTGGACTTCAAATGTTGGTACAAGTATATTAGAAATACACAATGTGAAAACAGGCATAGGAAGGAATAAGACTGCATCATACCTGTGTTCTCCCTGCATCTTGTGTCAAATGAGAAGGCAGTGATGCAAATGATGCCCTCTTCTGTAAATCTAAGAGATGTTCTGCATTCGATCCACACAGTACTATTTTTGTCTCCCTGCATTAACGATACGTCGATGGAACAATTGTGCAAATGGGCCGTTTTATAATTCACAACTGATACTGTTTCATCATACTAACTGCTCGTTCAAGTGTGTGTTAAAACCAAGAAATTCCAGTCGACTTCCATATTATTTCAAATCTACTCTGCAAGCCTGTGTTTCAAAAGACAATTTCAAAAGTTGCTCCAGAGATATCCAAATATTTTGAATTTTTTGGGCTTCCGGAGAGGCACCAGACACTACTTAGCGTAAAAATTCCTCATTTGACTTGTTGGAATTTTCAAGAGCGAGCGAGAGAGAAAACTGATATTCCAATGCTGGCAAAACATGAGCAAGAAAGAACAAAAAAAAAACCCCGGTTTTATGCCCCTGCTACCTGAACACATCTTTTGGAGCAACAAAATGAAAATCAATAATTACTTTCCTGGAAGTGTTTTTCTGCCGACTGCCGGGGAGTTGGGTGCTTACAAAAACAGTGAGCAATTTCCTTCAGGGCCCTACACGGGCCAGAATGTCTGGAGAACACGTTCTCTACAAAAGTCAGTGTTTGTCTGAAAGGTACATGTACAAAGCAAGTACATGTATGGACAGGGTGCTGTGTACTATTTGTGCTACTGGATGCACGTTTGTTCACCTTATATACATCCAGGTGTGCAATTATTTGGGTGTCTGGAATACCAGAAACTGAACGCTTTCACCACAAAGACGGATGTTTAGAGAGTGTTTAGCATTGTAAATATATTATCAATGTTTTATGTAAATGTATTCTCTACTCTCTACAAAATTTCTAATAAACTTTGTACAAAATGAGTACTGTGTGGAAAGAATTTTCAAAGACGAAAAAAGAAATTGACTGGAGTTTGAGTTTGAACCTTGGGTACGCCGTCTACTGTGCTCTACCAACTGAGATATCCAGCCGTACGGAGATCCAGAGAGATATGTTGTAAGTTTCAAGCCCGCTCCACTTAATTTCTTTGGTCAACATTAATATTATTATAATGACCTAGTTGTCTTCCTTTTGTGATTTATTTGAGGAAAAAAAAAGAGTACAAAACTTAAAATAATAACAGGGGGGGGGGGGGGGGGGGAAGACGGGGGGTGTGAAGGCGCTGCAACCCCCCACCCCCACCCCCCTCCCCCAAGATACAAATGTAATTCTGTTTCATGTACAGTGTATCATACTCCAAGACACAAAGATCATTGCATGTTACCAGCAACAATGTTATTGCAATTCAGTGGTTTATGTCTTCAGCTGAAGTAAATGGTACATGCTGATTAGTCAGGTCAGCTTACCCCTGTGTTTCCCACCGTACCAAGCAGTGTTCATGCCTGGCTCTGTCTTGCAGTAGTGTCCGGTACAGGCCTAGGCACGAGTGGGCAACCTGTAGAGAAAAAACAATTTTGGATTTAACTTTAGTAAGCATGCTTCTGAGCCATGCAATCTAGTTCAAAGTGATTGAGGCAAAATCAAAAATTTGCATCTTTACTTACTAGAAACACTTTAGTGAACAATAATTATTTGTATTACATCACATTTCCCCCTCCCCCCCCAAAAAAAATTAATTTAGTTTGAATTTCAGAAGAATCGCCCACTACAAGTGGTCACCTCGTCTGGGTGGGAGGTATGTCCGCCGATGCGAACACTAGGATACCTGGACACCTACAGGTAACCCCATTTTGTGTGATGGGAAAAGATGTTAAAAGCCGTTGTTATATCTGGCCTCAATAGAAATGCTTCTTAATTGGTTCAGTGTTAAAGGGAATGTACATCATTGGCTTTTGCTGTAATTTTCAGAAATGAACTATTTGAAGGGGGAGTATAATAGATCAAATTTTGTTACACTGACATGTTTGAAGTTTTTTGTTAGAAAATGCTGGAAAAACCAAGAAAAACAAAAATGTTCAAGTAGTCTGGTTCCCTGACTCCACTAAAGATAAAATGGATCAATTTCCAGATGCCGGAAAATTGTAAGGTAAGGGAACAAGTCTAGCTGGCCTGCACCCGTTCATGAATATGTAACCAATAGCAAACAAAATTTGAACTGAATAAAAAATGGTAAATTTGGAGCAGTAGTTGCAAAATAGTTAGGTTTTTCCAACGCGCTGGAAACGTATACACAAATACCATTTTCTTGAAAATGACTTCACACCAGGTGCCATAACTTTACAGGATGCTTTTGACTGTCATTTACCAACATCCTAAAGGTATTTCGTAAAAACTTGGTAGTTTTATTTTTCGATGTTTGCAAATGTTGTATATTCCCTTTAAAGCGCAAAGTGTGTAAATGCATTTGTGAAACAATTCAGATCATGCATAACATAATATAGACACTAAGCTTATTTTAATACCACGCCCATCTTTTCATACTACCCTGTTTGGTGTTGCTCATTATAAAACATTCTTGTCAACTGAATATTGCTACAAAAAACTTGCAAAAAATAGTTTCACTACCTGTGCAGCTATCTTGCCTTTGCCCATTTTTAGTTCTTCATTGACAACAAACACCATCTTTATTCTGTCCGAGCCTCCAAGTGTACCAGAACATGGAACCAACTGTCAAAAAAAAAATATCACAGCAGATGTAAGACAAGTACTTTAACTGTAGGCCTATTGATATAAGTGTTGATATAATCAGAAGGCAGAATACAGGGGTGTAACAAACCCCTCCCCCCCACCCAAACCTCGTCTTTGGCGAAATAGTGTTACATCTAACTGTCAGCAAAAGAGGCCACTGTACTTCCAGAAACCACAGACATGTGTGTGGTACGCAATCAACAGCATGCTCAAGCTTTGTTGGAAAAAATTACGTAAACATGTGTCACGGGGGAACACAGATGGCGGGCTTTTAATTCAGTGTGATTGCGCAACATAAACAGTCGGTCATTTTTTGTCCATCCGGGTTTTGTGTGTTATTTCAACCTTAGGCTTTGTCAGGCCCCCGTACAAATGGTTTATGTGATCTGTATCTGTCAGGCTGATATTTGCTTCAAACAAATGCTAAATCCTACAAAAGCAATACTTCAGAGATGAAACTGGCCTTGGCAAAAAAAATCTGAAATTGGATCTTGGGTCTGAGCTGCCACAGTGTCACGCAGTGCAGTGCATCAATGTGGGACCCAGTGAATTTGTCCTTGTCATTGGTCAGTATTTAACCTTTTCTCCAGTCGGAAAAGGATCTGATCATCACATTTGTCTTTAAATGTTCTACCAAGGAATCACTCCATTCATGACTGGTTAAAAAGAATTAAAACTACAACACTTGTGCAAATTTGTACGTGCCGTTTTCAACGACTTTTCATGGATTTTTTTATGGAAATTATAATGGAAAAAAACCAACATTTTGTGGAAAAATCGTCCAAAAATCACATTTGTGGGATCGTTAAAAAATCTGAAATTTCATTGGAAAAGTAAAAAAAAATCTGATTTCAGATAAAAAGTTTCATCTCTGATACTTACATTCTGCTCACCAGGCCTTGTTTCATACATCGGCTGTCCTGTCATAAACAGGTCCGCGCCCACTCTTTGTACTGCTTGTAGCATTTGCTCTTCAGACCCGTCATCCATGTACGAGTCTGTGGTGACACTCACATTTTCGTCACCACCGTCAAAGTACCAGGCAGCTGCTGCCTCCAACGATTGGCCACCGGTCAACAGAAGTGCCTGCAGACAAAGAGTAGGGTGAAAGATATCCTTAACAGGCCAAATCTACTACAGACCCTGAATTTTCTAGAGGGTGTATTTTTCCACTGATTTAGGCAGCACTCACTATGGATTTTCCTTGGTGTGAGAGGTACATGTACACATACGTGTATGGCTTCACCTTGCCTTCCTCTATGGAAAATGCTACAAACATTTTACCCTTTCTTTTCTGGCAATGTTACAAAAACATTTCATTGGGGGGGGGGGGGGCCTTGTCTCCAGCATGTTTGCTTGTATTTTCCTAATAGTGATCTGATAAGAATAAGAAGTTTCAATATAAGGCTTATATTCATGTAGTTATAAGCATTTTGTCTGATTTCATCGATTGACAAGTCACAAACATTTATTGCTGGTTGAAACACTCCAACAACATCCAATGAGATTGGATTCTATTTCTAAACCGAGCATGCTTGCCCCCAATGTTTTCGTGATATTCTTCTTTTCGCTTGCCACGGCCACACAGTTGGTGTTTTGCGTCGTTGTTTAGACATTTTAGTAATTCAATGCTGACAGTAACCATTGTAACAACAGCCATCCATAGAATGTGTTCCATCAAAAGTGAAACAATAGGCGCATCAGTTTTCAGATGCATTTATTATTGGTTGAAGACAAGACTATGAATATGTATGATCAGATTACATGTATGCGTGTGCTCAGGTGCAACATATAATTTAGGCAGAGCTAACTAAAAAATAAATTTCTAGTAAAGAGACTGGGCCCAGAACAACATGATCTTGCCAAGCTATCAAGCTTGTTGTCGTTCCCATTAGATTTATACGTACTTCTTATTTTTTCCAAGATAGGGGCCTATATTTTTGTCATGGTCCACGTCCCTAATGTGAATAATTCTCAAGTGATCAAGCCTGAACTGTTCATGGATTCTGTTCCATGAACACCCTCAAAGCAGTTGTACACGAATCAGCGTGCATTATGTTAATTGGAGTGATACCAATTCAAATATTTTTGGTTCTGCAGGGTGTTTCAGAATAAAAAGGACACCCAACTTCAAAGAATGAGTATGGACAGACGCTATGTTTACTGGCTATAAAACTGGTATCATCTGAATGCGTAATCTCTATGCTTTTCAATGATACTATGTTAAGGTTTTCTGAGTCATGCATCAGTGAGCATCTTGTCTTGAAAACTGGATGCAAAAATGCAGTTGGTTCACTTTCACACAAAAAAAAACCACTGGGCACGGTGTGCCTATTGTTACGAAAATGTCTGTGAAATAGCTTGAATGTTAATCCTTGGGTAAATGGAACATTGTTTTGAACGTGGCTTGGTCAAAATGAGAAATTCATGACAAACAATAAAATCCAACTTTGAAACCAACCCGACTTGTTTTTTGGTTTCTTTTTATGCACTCGTGTCTTCTTCTTGAATACTTATTCTCATGTACACCATGCCTATTGTGTTTGACATGAAAGTGAACCAACTGCAGTTTTGCATCAAAATCTCATGACAGTGGCGCTCAGTGATGCATGACCCTGGAAATGCAAACAAGGTATCATTGAAAAGCACAGAGATTACGCTTTCAGATGATAACAGTTTTATAGCCAGTAAACATTTAGTCTGTCCATACTGGTTCTTCAAAGTTGGGTTTCCTTTTTATTGAAACACCCTGTATATGTACGATTTCCTTCCTTCCTTCCTTCCTTGAAAGTGCAGCCTCATATGTATGAGCATAAACGCACTGCCAGAAACACCAGGGCGAACCCCTTCTCTTAGCGTTATAAGTGTTACTGGGTTCTTTTACGTGCATTATACAACGCACGGGACCTACGGCTTTACGTCCCCTCCGAAGGACGAAGTAATAATGGTTAAGTGTCTTGCTTAAGGACACAAGTGTCAAGACCAGGACTCGAACCCACACTCTGTTGATTAGAAACACCAAGGCTTGAGCCCAGTGCCCTTAACTGCTCGGCCATGACACTCCGCCTATATTTTTTGAAATTGCACTTCACTATCAAAAACGAACTGAAGAAATGTTTTAGTCAATTTTGGACTCAAAATGAAACCAAGTTCTCCATGTTCATTCACTAACATGATTTAACAGCAATCTTGGTTTTTACCAAACTAAGGCCTGCAAATGCATGCTGGTTCTCATTTAGAACAGGTTTTTGGGTGCAGAAGTTATGACAAAATTTACAAAGTTTGGGGAAAATCTTGCCCCAATTACAAAATGACAACATACATACATAATTATGTACGTTTTATGTCTTGCATGTCGCAAATCACCTTTTCGGCCATAGCTTCTGGTATGCCCATTTCACTCAACGCTCGTAAGTGCTCTGGGTTGACAGCTGGTCCACCCTCTGGCTCTGGCCTCAGCCCGGGAAGTCTGGCCTCCACTGGGGGAGGCCGGTCTGAGTCACTCATTGCCAACTGAATAGAAAACAGAACACAAATATACAAATGTTGCTACAAATGTGATTAACTGTTCCTTAAGGCAGCGGAGCATGCGCATGTTTCTAAACAAAATTTGAAATCCATGACAGTACGTACTTTCAATTCATCTACACCTATCAAGCGTAAAGGCCCCATAAAATAAAGGCAGTGTACGTGTATATTTGACCTCGAACCGTTCTATGATTTTCTTTTTCCGTTCTTGTACCGTCACTTCCACCATGTCCACTCGGCTTGTGCAGTGAATTTTTTTTGGCGCAAGGAACCTTCGTCTGATTCTGTCGTAGGTTGGTCTATGCAGAAGGTTCCGGGATCAAAACCCACGCTGCGCACCTTATGTTTTTAATTAAAACGTCCTTTGGGAAGAATTCCATACATGGATATCACTAATTTTTACCTGCAGAGACCATGGAGGAAGGAACACAGACTGTATGAAATCGTCAAGATTTTTCACAATCACATTTGGGTTTTTTTGTGGTCTGTTAGACTGTTTCAAGTCGATCATTAGGCTTCGTAAATGACTGCTGAATGTATGAGGTATGTAAATGAAATCTGGGGTGGGATATTAGAGGTGAAAATGGACAATTTTTGAGAGGCCATTATTTCAGGGTCTCTTGCTACCACACTCTCACGACTAGGTTATGTCTCCAGCGCTACATGCATGACCTGATGACATGCATGACATGTGAATGAATATGATGAGCTAGCTCTACTGAGTGGAGCGTTGAATTACGGGTACCCCTCCATACCAACGCTCCACCGATTCGCCATACTTTGGTGGCACCGTCACAATAGCATAGTCACAAACCCACGCGAGGACAAAAAGACCCCAAAAAACCGGTAAAGAGATTACAAATGAGAGAGACAGTTATCCTGGATTGATCTATACATTCTTGACATTCCATGAGACCCCTTAAGTTATATTGTTCCCAAACAGCGAACATTTTGGAAAAAACAGCAAAATAGTCTGAAAACTTACAGCTCAATGGGTTTGCATGGAGGCTCAGTTCTTGAATTGACTGTCGAATGAGGGCGTCTGACGTGACGTCACCGTCGTTGCTCGATCGCGAAGAAAAACAAGTCGCACTTTATCAACGACTGTTTCGTGTAATGATACGTGCTCCGATCCGCGCCGTACGACAGTATGGGCTTTGAACACACCCAAGGTGGAGACGGCTGAAACGTACACGTTCTAAACAAAATAATTAATGACGTCTCCACCCTGGGTGCGGTGTGTTCAAAGCCCATACTGTCGTACGGCGCGGATCGGAGCACGTATCATTACACGAAACAGTCGTTGATAAAGCGCGACTTGTTTTTCTTAATCATTGATCTCCATATAAACAGACTATGGAGATCAATGTTCTTAATCTTCGCGATCGAGCAACGACGGTGACGTCACGTCAGACGCCCTCATTCGACAGTCAATTCAAGAACTGAGCCTCCATGCAAACACATTGAGCTGTAAGTTTTCAGATTATTTTGCTGTTTTTTTCCAAAATGTTCGCTGTTTGGGAACAATATTAAGGGGTCTCATGGAATGTCAAGAATGTATAGATCAATCCAGGATAACTGTCTCTCTCATTTGTAATCTCTTTACCGGTTTTTTGGGGTCTTTTTGTCCTCGCGTGGGTTTGTGACTATGCTACTGTGACGGTGCCACCAAAGTATGGCGAATCGGTGGAGCGTTGGTATGGAGGGGTACCCGTAATTCTTCGCTCCACTCTGTAGAGCTAATCTCAAATGATGAGCATGTCAGCTGGAGTTACTCAAGGCGTCAAGCTATCTGTTTCTTTTTCCACACATGCTACTTCTAAAACTACTACTAGTACTACTACTACAAGGCCTACTAATAAACTACTAGTACAACTCACACTCCGGTCCAGATTTTAAATAGGGGCCTATGCTTGGTCGCAACAAATCAAACAAATTACGTGGATGTCATCAACACACCCGTGATGTAACGAGTCTTCATCAATCGCCGACTTTTTAGTCGGATAGCCTGCTCACAATTTATGGCACTTCAGTACAAATACGGCTGGGAGCCAGTACGAACTATTATTTGAGCAGTAAGTGCACTGGGGTAAAGGTTGGCTCTTCTCAACCTCGTATTCCTGTCTAGGCTAGGCATAATACAGATGAGCGATTTTTTCCCCTGCTGGGCCACTGTGTCTATATGTAGCGCCCCCCCCCCCCCCCATATTGCTTGAGAAAGGCGGGTATCTAATTAAGAAACGGTGCAAATTATAGAAATTACTAAGACAGGGAAACAAAGAATCGAGCAATAGGAATGTTTTTTTTTTGCCCGCGGTATTTCCACACGGCCAATAATGACGTCAACGAAAAACTAGCTGCGTCACCTGTACTGTCACTATGATTAGCTGGCACACTTAACCTAATTGATTGATTTGGTTGTTTTGTGTATAATAGAGCTTTGGCGCCTTTGGTCCATCGGTGCTTATCATCATGAGAATTTAAAAATATCAATCAACCTTATATCGGACACGCTTCCCCAGAACAAAACTAAATCGATATAGGCCTAGAGCTATGATAGCCCCTGGACGACTGTGAGATGAAGAGGATTTGTTTCAGTAAATAAAGAGAGTTATAGCCTAAAACTAAGGAGTAAATATATATTTCGGGTTGTGGTGTATTCGGTGTGATTTTTTGGTACAGTATAAGTACGGTACTATGATGCTCTTTTTCCAAACAAACTTCGACGGTCGAGCTATAGCAGTGCAGCCTGCAGCCTCAGAAAAATTACCACCGATGTAGTGTGAAATTGGGACTCTATGAAATACGGCCTCATTGGATGTCTAAGGCCCCCCCCCCAAAAAAAAGTCTCCGGTTTCTGGTATGCGCGCGTGTCGCCGTACTGCCGTAGCCTAGCCATACGCGCGTCGGCAAAATGAAAAAGTTTTTTTTTTCAATGTAAGATGTCTAAAAACTGCCAAACTCACTGGTGTGACTGGAATCCTGCTGCTGCACAATTTTAACGTGTTTTTAGATAGGTTTACGATCGAGTATAAGCTTCAAGTGGCCTCTCTGGACTCCCATATATTTTGCACTAAATTTAGTCGGACACCATTTGCAGTCATCAGCCGACATTTGAAGAAAAGCAAAAGTAAAAAAAAAAAAAAAAAGCCACGTCGCCGCACCACTTTTTGGGCAAGCTCCATACCAGAAACCGGAGACTTTTTTGGGCCTAAGTGAAGACAATTAGGACATTGACAGGACACGGGTGAGGAGCATAGTCCGAATATTACATTAAAGAGGCCAGATTATGTGGAGCCAAAATTTCATATGACACCGACCTTGGTAATTTCGAAGCGAGGGAAAGGGTTCGCTCGTACCTACCGCGCTGCAAACGGTCGGATGCGAAATGGGTCCCCATTTGACGCAAGGGGGCGCTGTTGCCGATAATATGTGATGTAAAGCTGAGCTTTTGGCCCCTTTTGCATCATATTCTATAGCTCAAATAATGTATAACTTGGCGTAGGGATCCGTTCTTTTTGCTTGGGGTGAACCTCGATGACTTAGCTCACCGCCTGATTTTTTTTTTAACGGCCGGGGTAAAATGGCATTAACTGGATTATACTTAATTGTTGAGGTATCCATAATAGGTGATCGTGAGAGCTTCAAAGCTTGCAACACCTCCCCCCCTAAAAAAAAGAGCAGATGGGCCCCCACAAATCCACTGACTAGTATGTGCGCACGGCTTGTGCGCACAAAATGCCCGAACATGAACCGCAATAGTGCTTTGCGACGCCTGCGTTATGTTCAGAGGTTTTGTGAGTGGGCCTATTGAACTAGCGGTGAGCGGAATGCAAGTGAGCTGTGGTGATTCGAATCACCCTCACGCCTTTTTTTTCTGTAGAAGTAAGGCCTTATTGCAGAGACAGCCACAATATTACCAGATAAAAAAAATTCACGTTGTGGTGATTATTATAGTTTAGTCAGAAAATGAATGGATGGGGTCCAATTAATGAGGATACCAGCCAAGCCTGCGAACTCTCAATACCGCGGTGCTGGAGTGTCTGTTTCCAGAATGTCTTGGTGCCAGCGCTAGCGCCTCGGGGGAAGAATCAAAATGATTAATATTGATACACTGGATCCAGGCTGGCAGACTTATCATCAGGGACATGTAGCCTTTGTATAATGAGCCAGATTACATTTTTTTTGCCAGGGGTTATTTTGAAATAAACCCGGTCTCATTCCCCATGTCTTAACAGGCACGAGCCGTAAAATACAAGTGATGGTGGCCAGTACAGTATCATCTCAGTCCTTGTCCAATACGGCATTTTGATTTGTCTTCCCCTTGTGTGATGGTGCAGCCTGTCCCTGGACAAGTACGCGTACGGTAAAACCGCCGTTGTGGGAGAGGTCGCTAAACAAGTTGAATCACATCCAGTCTTGAGAGCTTTGGCAGCGCTACCCAGGAAATTCCGAGCATACTTCACGCGTACTGTATTATAAAGCAACGTGTGACACATTAATATCCAAATGACATTTATAACAATTATTTATCGGCGGCTAATTGGGCCAAGTCAGCGACGGTGGCGATGTTTTTTATAGATATGTCATTGGTTTGCCGAAAGTACGATTAAAGACGCTCCCTCAGTGAGCGTTTAGGCTATTCCACATAGAATGCACACTAGCTGAAAGTTGATGCAAACAATTCAAGAAATGTTTTGTTTGTCTCATCTGATAGAAAACCAATTACTCTAATAACAACAAAAAGACAATTACGGACGTCTGAGGTAACCTTAGCTGTCGAGGACGTTCCTGTGTACATATTGTTTGTGGCGTTCCATTATCTGCCTATTTAGGTATAACAAATAATTCGTATTTCGTCCGATTTGGAGTCGTCTCATTTATTTGCGCCATCGGTTCGGAGCGGAGGGAGGGCCCCCGGGGGCGTGAACCCCTCCCCAACCCCCGAAAATAATAGATTTGAAGATTCTGAAAAGAAGAGGTCGGATTATAAAATTGACGTAGGGCCTCTTATTTTTCCTCCTTTTTTTGGGGGGGGGACGCGCGCCCAAAAAAGCGATTTCGATAATTCAATTTTTCTACTTTGTATTTGAGAGAACTGATGCCCAAGTTCTACACTGGCAAACAATTTTGTAGAGAAGTTTGCCTCTTTAGGGGCGGGCGACATTTTTGAAAAATTTGGGGAGATGAAAATCAACAATCCAGCTGTAAAAGGTAATCATTTTTTTTATCCAACACAATGTGAATGGGAGTAGGCACTAGGCAGAATGTGTACATGTCAAATCGAAATGTATTCTTTCCCTTAATGGGTGGATCATATCATAATTCATCTAATTTACTCCTTTTCTATTTTTCTTTTTTTTTGGGGGGGGGAAGGGGGGCGGTAGTTATCCTCACCTTTTAATACTATTTTAATCCGCACTTAAGTATTCAATGTACGGGTTGGAGTTGCTTCGAAGAATAGACCTCCTACCTCTTTATTTTTATTTTAGTAAAATAAAATGGCTATTGTAGACACAATTCTGTGCTCTTTATCACTCCACTTTTTTATATGAAAAAAAATCAAAACCTGTAATTCCACCATCACAAAGGTAAAATGTAACTTGGAATGTTGCTTGTATTAGTGTACTACTTAAACTACTAACGGAAAAATTCAGATTTGTTTTTACAAGAGTTCGGACTGTACTGATGGCATGATATCCTTACAAGCCTACCTCCTTTTTGCCCCTACCCGGCCCCTACATTGAAGGAAAATATGTCCCCGGCCCCATCAGAGGAAATATGTCCAATTTTTTTATGTAGAAAACGTAATTAAAAAAAAATAGAGGCAGACCAACTGAGTTAACAGAGCCCTCTATGGTCTGACATGAGACAGGAAAAAGGAGAGATCTTTTAAGTAAGATCACAGTCTTCCAATAAATATTTCTTGAAGCACAAATAACATAGTCTATAGAGTGGAACCGAAGATCGTTTTCATTTAATGCAGGGGCGGATCTACGGGGTGGGGGTGGGGCCAAGTGGTCTAACCCTCCCCCTTGGGCTGCAAACAATAAGAAAATCATGCTGACAAAAAATAACACATCCCCTTGACCCCCTCCCCTTAACGGAGGGCAAAGCTAGATACGCCCCCTAACGTATTTTTGGGAGGTAAGGTGTTGCTATGGAATCCTGGTCTGGTGCAGCATGCGAAGGGCTATTTTATTAAACCTCGAGGTCATCTTTTCCAAGAACGTATAGGCCAGAGTCTCTCAAACTACCAGTGGAATGAGCAATTTTAGCAACGTATGCACGCCGTCATCTCCCAGGTGACTTCCGATTTATACCCCGTGGCGACCCTTCTTGCTGCAGGTGCGCTCACACACAAAACACGATGCCGTTTTCCAAACGTCAGCTCCTTCTCTGGCATTGGCTCCGATATTTGGTGAATATTCATATAGGAACCTGTACTTGATGTCCATACCGAATGGAACTATACTTGAACCTTGATGTGTTTCTTGAGCAGAATATATATGGACCTACACTGAGCCGGAGTCTACCTTGGTACCAAGTCCTGAAGCTACATAGCTTTAGGAGACATATACCAGGCAAGTTTAAACACCGTAGAGAGTTTTCTTATTGAAGAAAATAGTTATCACGAAAACTCTCATTGTTAAACGAACCGTTTCAACCCAAAAAATCAACTTGAACTCCAGCTTTGTCCCGGATTTGGCCGCACATCCTCCTCAGAAATAAGGCTCACGGCCTCCCCATATGGACATACTAATTGAGGCCACCTCATGGCTAGTATCTTGATACCTGTGGGTGGTTGAAGTGAGGCCATCATCCGAATTACTCTGCTGCAGCCCACAGTGACAAGTGTCTGTGAGTGGTGGCTTCACCTGCTTCCATTGCCGGCCGTAGATCCGGACGCAGCCCAAGACATCAAAGTCAAAAGTCTTATATTTTTAAGCTGTAGTCCTCATGCAACCACAGCTGGAAACGAAGCCCATTATCAGCTGATTTTTTTTTAAAG